CTATCTATCTATATATATATATATATATATATATATATATATATATATATATATATATATATATATAATTTCCATACCAAGCGTAAGCAGAAAGATAAAGTCTGCCGCGGCTGGGTCTTGAACCCGCGACCTTCGAATTACTAGATCGACGCTCTACCAACTGAGCTACAGGGTCAGACGGATTTAACACTGGAAATTATGAAATATATACTGAATGTCATAAACATACTCGTTTATATTAATTCAGTATCGAACAATACTAGGAATGGAAATATGGGTATGGAAATTGTATAATACACACTCGAGAACATTTTCACCTTAACATATTACGGAGTGTACAATTACACAACTCAACATAACACTTGCAGAACTAGTATTGTTCGATACTGAATTAATATAAACGAGTATGTTTATGACATTCAGCATATATTTCATAATTTCCAGTCTTAAATCCGTCTGACCGTGTAGCTCAGTTGGTAGAGCGTCGATCTAGTAATTCGAAGGTCGCGGGTTCAAGACCCAGCCGCGGCACTTTATCTTTCTGCTTACGCTGGGTATGGAAATTATATAATACACACTCGAGAACATTTTCACCTTAACATATTACGGAGTGTACATGCAATTACACAACTCAACATAACAGTTGCAGGACCAGTATTGTTCGATACTAAATTAAGGCCACATAAAATAAATTCCTTGATTATCATTACTACACTTATAAAATGTCGAAGAGGCGGGAGGTTTATATTTTATATTTTATATTTATATAATTTTATATATATCAAAAAATAAAAGTGTCACAAACTGAAATAGACATATTTCTCCACGAACAATGACTGGCCCTTGAACTGAATGCGAAGTTCCATTAAAATGCAATGAAATTTCTTTTAAGGTTCTATTTGTTTGAAATTGGCAGTTTAATTTAAAATGGCACTAAAAACCCAATATAAAATATAAAAAACTTAACTGTTTTGAATTATTTTGTCGGGCGGTACATTTATATATTGTATAACAAAATATAAAAAAGTATCACGCGGCTCTTAAAATACAGTCGGGCGGTGATGAGAATCAAGGAATTTATTTTATATGGCCTAATATAAACGAGTATGTTTATGACATTTAGTATATTATATTTCATAATTTCCAGTCTTAAATCCGTCTGACCGTGTAGCTCAGTTGGTAGAGTGTCGATCTAGTAATTCGAAGGTCGCGGGTTCAAGACGCAGCCGCGGCAGACTTTATCTTTCTGCATACTTACGCCAGGTATGGAAATTATATAATACACACTCGAGAACATTTTCACCTTAACATATTACGGAGTGAACAATTACACAAATATATATATATATATATATATATATATATATATATATATATATATATATATATATATATATATATATATATATATTAGATCTTAAATGCTGTCAGTTAGGTCTTTAAAATTTTTATAAATAGATTTTTGGCCCAAAATTTCCATCAACTATTCCCCCATTAAGGTGGCTCAATACAGTTTTTGAAAAATGGAAAATTCACGAATTAGATGCGTATTTTTGGACAGTTATTACTTGTTGATAAACAACCTTACTTATATAAAACAACATCTAAAGAGTAGTATAATCAATCATTTTGACAATTTTAAAAAAATACTGTGGAGCCAAAAAAAATTATGAATAATCACCTTCACGTAATTTAAAAAAATTTCGGCTCCACCGAATTTTTTTTAATTGTCAAAATAATTGATTATACTTAGGGCCTGTTCATATGGGCAGAAGTTATCCCGGTTAGCGAGAAAACTTTTCGACAAGTTTACGAGCGAGATCTCGCCTTGTTACGAAAATAATATGAAAAGTTACATTGCGTTCATATGAGACGAAAAGTTTTCCCGTGTACCGAGATCTCGCTTGTTGACAGGCGAGATCTCGGTGACCGGGATAATGTTTTCCCCATATGAACACAACTTTCCCGCCTAGCGGGATAACTTTTTGTCGTGTCAGCAACTTTTCAATTCAATTGATGTTCAGTGCTACGTTACAGCCGGAAACTTTTCCCGGTAAGTGGGATAAAGTTTCTCCATATGAACAGAACAAAAGTATTTGGCTAGTCGAAAAGTTCTCTCGTTAACCGGGATAACTTTTGCCCATATGAACAAGCCCTCGGAGAAATCATTTTTAAAAATAAAATTGGGGGGTCACCGATGTTGTTTACGAGTTAAATTACTTTCAGTAAAGCCAAAATATCTGCCATCTTGAAACGTCATTGTTGCCATAGCAACGGCAGTTGCGTAACTTTTGTGCAAAAATTCAAATTCTTTAGATGTTGTTTTATATAAGTAAGGTACTTTTTGTTTATCAACAAGTAATAATTGTCCAAAAATACGCATCTAAATCGTGAATTTTCCATTTTTTTAAGAACTGTATTGAGCCACCTTAAGGTACGTTTACACAAAACGATTAATCGGGCCGATTAATTTGACGACATCGTCAACTTACAACATTCGTCGTTAACATTCGGCAAAACCTGAAATCGGCCCGATTAATCGTTGCGTGTAAACGTAGCTTTAGTCGTTTTTGTATAGAAAAACTGTTCAACTATGTATTAAACATAGATATGTGCAATGATATACCACGGCCTGCCCGAAGAGAGAACACAACTGAGAAAGAAATTTGGCAAACTTTATGGTGAAGACCCACTGAAATCGTTCCCAGTTGCCATCACGTCATATGACATAATATTGAGAGATCGAAAATACTTGATGAAATACAAATGGAAATATCTCATTGTCGACGAAGGCCATAGAATTAAAAATTTAAACTGTAAATTGATACGGTAAGTGCTAAAAGTGTTTGTATAACCTATAAATGTAACACAGAGTTCCTGAATAGCAGGTGTAGAGGCCTGAGCAGAGCAGGAAATATTTTAATATCTTGATCTTAATTTCTTCAAAAGTGTCCACGTTAGTCCGCCTAGAACTAAAATGGAGGCTGCATGGATTTCTATTCTTCTCTGGGAAATGGGATTTAGGGCAGTGGTATATGATGGGATTTGAACTAGCAATTTTGCTGCCGGCAATATAATTTGGCATCTTAATGGGTCGCGGACTGGGATTGGGTTGGGGGAAATTTTGGATTGGAAAATTGGATTGAAACCACCCCCACCCCCCTTATATTACTACACCACCTATAAAGTATATTGGTTTTAATGCTTTTAGATCTATATAAACATATTTTTGCAGTGAATTGAAAGCTTTACCAGCGGCAAATCGTTTATTGTTGACTGGAACGCCGCTGCAGAACAATTTGTCTGAACTGTGGTCGCTGCTAAATTTCTTATTACCAGACATATTCAACGATTTAAACAGGTGAGGTCGGATGCGTTGTTTGCTACACTACATTATCGTTTTACAGATGGTATGATGATAGCCCTGCATTGTACTTGTCTACGCTGAAGCCAATTTCATGCAAGTAACTTCTCACAGTCCCGAACATAATTTTTTATTGTTTTGTGACTGTATTAAATGGTCACTGGTAAGAGAAAAGATGGAATTCGGAATTGCGAAAATTTGCACAATTTAATTATGGACGTCAAAAGCTTTGCTAGCCGTGTCAAGGGTGATTGAATACTCCAAACTTAGCGCGCCGCCAGGGCTAAAAATAACGGCTGGTCAACGGACAATGACCGATGTCACAGGAAATTCCCCCCCCCCCCGAAAATTTGTCCCCCCCCCTATTTCCTAGGAAATTTGGCCCCCTCTAAAAAATATAGTTTACTTTATCTTTTAGCTCGGAAATCGTGAAGCTTCTACTACAAGCAAATTTCTAGAAATTTTTCTCAACATTTATAGTTAGTTTGCGTAATGTTTTTGTGTTAAAACAAAATTCTGCAATGAATTGCAATACTGACGAGAATTAGGCCAAGAGAATTGCTTACAACACTGACGGATTTTATGTAGCTGTATGTAACCTATGTAGTTTTTTTTGCCTGTTTGCGGAAACAACATCCAAACCTTGTGCTTTTGTGTTTGCGGAATGTTTTGTTAGTCATTCAAACCTTTGTGCTTTTCTGTGTGCGGAATGTTTTTTGTGAGCCATGAAGCATACAGTCTACTTCCGTTTTTACGGAATGCTTCTGTAATGCATCCCAATCATATGAGCGATTATTTATATATACTGTGTATATGTAAGTAAAATGTATAGGAAAAGTTTTTTTTACGAAATAGCCACTCATTTGATTTTGTTTTTCGAACAAACGTTCCCACTTAAAAGTCTACTTTTACCCCAATGCTAATTACTTCCTGTTATTTACTAGACGCGTGCATATTAACATATTCGCCAACGCATGATGTCATCGTTTGCTAAGGTGCAGTTGTTATTCTGACTAATTTTATATTATGTGACTGTATTTTATAGATCCAAATAACTTGTAATATCTTAGAAATTCCTATCTCTGAAAATCGTTTCGTGTCCTTAGCTTAAAGCTAAGCCATTATGCATTAACGTTGTCCTCCACAGATACACATGTGTGATATGTGTCTGGCATGACTGCACTAGCACATTATTATTATTACGCTTTCCTTTAAACTTTAGTTCTTGGCCGCAATGAAGAATTTTGACACAAATAAATTATGCAAACCAACTATAGATACTGACAAACACTTTTAGGATCTTGGTTTTAGAAGAAGCTTCACGATTTCCAAGCTTACAGCGATAAAGTAAACCATGTTTTCGAGGGGGGCAAATTTCCGAAGGAGGGGCCATATTTCCTAGGAAATATGGCCCCCAGGGGGGCCAAAGTTTGGGGGGGGGGGGAATTTCCTGGGACACCGGCCAAAAATGCCTCCTGACCGGTTACTTTTTTACCTCACCACTGTCATTTTGACCGGCCACATTTTCATGCCTTCAATGTGATTGCGGACGCCTTGAATTAAACTGACATGAAACTATGATGTATCGGAACGTTTACAATACTCTTAGTGTTAGTGTATCAATGACCGATCAAAAACACACTTTGACCGAGCTAAAATCAAGTCAACCGGTCATTTTGACCGGAGACTTATCTCCCGTTATTTTGAGCCCTGTGCCGCAACGGCTGAACTTAGCACGGCTCTGTCATTTTGTATTTGTTGTTATGTTCGGTTCTCTTGTTTTTATTAACCTGGACCTGCATTAGGCTGTCACCTATTTTAGCCGTCATTGCGAAATCCCCGAAGGTGACCGTTTAATACAGGTTCGACTGGTCCAAATCGGATTTAAGAGTTAACTGCAATTGAACTACAAAACGCGGGTATATCATACTGAACTCAACAACCTTGTAGCAAGTTGTCAACAAGCCGTTGACAACTAGTCAACAAGCTGGGAACAAGCAGTGCGAACACACCCTGTTGACCAGTTGTTGGAACAGCATTGCTACAAGTCTGCTGCAGGTTTGTTACAACTTGTGCGTTTTTACGCGTGTAGCCCAACGTTATCTCGTAACCTTCTGCGGTCGATGCGTGTGGATGAGGATCGTGATATTTTGTTCCATAATTCAGTTTTCCTTTTCAGTAATGAATTAGGCATACGTATATACTTTAACTACATAGGTTTGTTATAGCTTTCAGGCATGGTTTGACTTCAGTGCTATCTCAGAAAGTGATGGGAATGAAAAAATCATTGCACAGGAGCGTGAACATCACGTGTTAGAACGCCTGCATTCGGTAAGTCATTTACGTTATCCAATCCATGTGATTACGTTCCTACCTGAGACCGGGATTAAGTCAGGCAGGGCAAATTCGTATTTTTCCTCACTGGATAGCATTGTGCTTCTCTCATGAATATATTAAGTTAATAAGTCGCGAGAATAACTCGTGCGTTTAAATATGGATTTTATAACAAACATACTACCAGCTATACCCGAGGTGCGTCCAATCCCGGACTCACCGAACCTGCAAGTATGTTTGGTTTTTATCACATGCCATTTCGGTAAAAAGTATTGAAGAATTTACGCATTTTAGTATATAATTTCTTGTTATAATAACGAACATTTTAGCCGCCAACATACTACGCAAACAAACAAACTTAGGCTTAACTTGAAGCTAAAAAAATTATCTATATAGTATTCCCTTACTCTTGAAAAGAGAAAATGCACACATTCTGCGAAAACGTTGCCAAGATTTATATAAACCTGCCCGTGCCGAACAAATTCCGGCGGCCATCTTCTCTTCCACTTTGAATACAGAATAATCCATTTTCATCAAACAAAATAAAAAATAATAATTAAAAACAGTTAATTTATTTTTTATTTAAATCTTCGTCTGAAATTTGTTAAATCGCTTCATAATGGCCGCCGCCGAAACATCGATCTCGAACCCCCCTCCTAAACATACGTCAGCAGGTGGGTTCGAGATTGAACGCACCTCCTCATACCTAGCGTATTAGGCTTTCCTATTGGCTATATGAGATAACAACTTGTGCTCTCCCCAGCTGACTCGATAGCTCAATTTGGTAGAGCGTCAGCCCGGTTCGCTCAATAGGCGAGTTCAAATTCCGTTTGAGTCAACTTTATGTTGACAATGCAGTGCTGGGTTTTCTCACTGGATAGTACATTCAGCGCCATCAGTATAAATGCTTGTGGAATGTACCTCATAATTGCTATAGAAGCTGGTAGCGATGTCTTTCAACGAGTAATGATGCAGGATCTGGCTTGACCTCGCTCTATGATTATGATTGCAGTCGGCTTTTCCTCAATATCAAGCTTTATCCATCTCCTGGGCAAATTGGAATATAAATTAGAATGTAATAGCCCAATGGTTGACCAGTCGTTTTCTCGACGTGAGCATAAAGTTTGAGGCAGCACTTTACTTGCGATAGTATAACTCGTCGTCTAAATTTGCTGCATGTTCTACGAATCCTTTAGATTCTCACTCCTTTCCTGTTACGACGCCTGAAATGTGATGTAAGTCTTGACATACCACCCAAGAAGGAAGTGTTCGTTTATGCACCTCTAACGCAGAAACAAAAAGACTGGTATCAACTGGCTCTGGATAAAATCCGTCTTTTTAGCACACTAAAGGTAAGAACATCCAATATTTGGAAAGTGAATTTTCTTCACAATGGAATTATGAAATGGCATTTAAATTTCGTTACGTACCAATCACTAATATCAGTCGACTTAATTACATACTCACCAACGTTATACAATAATGTGAATGTCGATATTTTGCTGTTATCGATGCTTGTGAATCATTATATTTTGCTTCTGTTGGGTTCACGAGCTTGGCTGAAGAGCCCCTGGAAAATCTAGAAAGTACTTCAACATTACGAACCACGATCTTTCATCTAGTCGTAGCCGGCGGAGTTTTGGCCGTATTTGGGGGCAGAGCTTACGAGGTGAAGCTAGAAATACGGTCAGCCAGCTATTTTGTATTTTTGCGTTGTCTGAGCAACGCAAAATTCCCATTGGCGGAGAGCCACTTTGATTGACAGGTAGTGCAACATTGATATTAGCAACGCCTATAAAACGCCCATTCTTAATTACTCGCTATTTTTACCTCGCATTGTGATTGGTTCGCTTAAATAAACAACTGTGGGCGTATTACAGAATAGTAAAGTATTTTGGCTGGCCGTATTTCTAGCTTCATCCCGTAAGCTCTGCGGCCAAAGCTCCGCTGGCTAATCTAGTCGTTTTTCGTGTCCATTTCGAACAAAGTTGACAATACGTATTCCCGTCCGCCGACGTGACGCGGTTCTCGGTTTCGTCTTTCTAAATGCAAACAACACAAGGACTACGCGTAGTTGGGTTTATTATTTTCATTTCATTAGGATGAGAAGGAAATTGTACCGTCCTTCACGCCCACTGGCCGCGCCCGTCGTGGTTGTTCCAGTAATTTGAATTACGGTATCTTTGATGACGACAATTTGGACTACGAAGACTTGATCGAAATATTGACCGACGATGATGAGAGGTAATGTTAGTTCTCTAATTTTTCTAACAAAAAACCTGAATTATAAAACAGTAATTGACGATAATTGTCGAATTGTAGGACATGGCATAACCACGATGACATAGTTAACATTTGTTTCTCGTTATGATGCATTTAACGTATTTTATAGATCAGTTTAGGTATTTCAATTATTTCCTGTTTCTTCAGAAAGTACACATTGTTTTCGTGATGTAGTTGTGGAATTATAAGTTTTCTTAATTAATTAATTTTATAAGGAAGATGCATTGGCTAGCAACGACATTATTACTATATTTGGGCGAGTATATATCATCTACATGATAAAGAAGACAGAAGGGTCTGCAGGAAAGAAATCGTACTGGCAATTGCATGGAACTGACAATTTTGTATTTCGCCGAAATGTAGTCTGGAAAGAGGAAAATTTACCATTTAAGGCGAAATTTTTTGCAAAACAATTACACGTTTTATTCAATTTTAAAAATACTGGTGATTTTTTTTAAAGTTGGCTAAATAATTATTTGCACTAATCGAAGGTAGCAACTGACAATCACAATTTTTTTAAGAAAAAGAGAAGCTCGGCAAACAATATCCACTCCAATGATCTGTGAAAGAAACGTCAAAGTCCTCAACATTGTAATGATTTTGCGAAAAGCGTGCATGCATCCATATTTGCTGGAGTACCCGTTGGACCTTGAAACTCAAGACTATCGTATTGATGAAGAAGTAATTACCTGTTCTGGTAAAACCTTAATACTGGATCAAATGTTGCCTGAGTTGAAAAGAAGGGGACACAAGGTAACGTTACAACTATTTATTGCGTAACCACGTGTATGATGTTGATACTGTAGATTTTAGCGCTGAAAAGATTAGCAGGCTATCTTTTCAGCGCACAAAAGGTAACTGTTGTCCTTGTGCGCTGTATACACTAGCTGCTAATTACATAAACTACGACTATTTAGTTTATTTCCAGACAAAAAATTAAGGTTATTAAGGTGCATTTGCCCCATCTTTTTATTGCAAAAAAGAAAGTATCCCTCAAATAATTATAAAAATATTATAGTCGTCTCAGGCTCGGTGATTGCAAGCCTATAGTCACTGAGCCCTTCAAAAAAGAACGTAGATCTATAGAATATAAAAATTTAAAATTGTCGACGAAACCTGGTTAAGTTTTATAGTTTGTAGTGTGCTTGAGAAACAACACGAAATATACCTGGAAAAGCATTGGTTCCACTGAGTTTCGAAAACATGTTGACGCAAAACAAAAACGAAAACTTTGGTGAGAAAAGAATTTGGAAGCGCTCAAATGAATCAGTTTTAAAAAATACATCGCAACAAAGTTTTTGCCGAACATAACAGTATAGTTACAAATTTACTAAAACAAAGAGTTTAGAACTGAACTGTAAAGTTTACACGTTCAGAAAAAGTTATTGTAATTTGTTTTTAAATCTAGCAGCTTGCGAGTTGCGAAGAAGCCGTTTTGAAAAGTGATAGCCGCCATGCACTGGGCAGTCAGTATCTATCACGTTTTGGGCGCTTAATTTCAACCAATCACAATGAAGAAAATTCAATAAAAATCAATTTCTACTAAAGGAGAATCACCGAACAGTGCGAAATTAAGATGGTGTTTTAAATCACGTTAATCGCGAGAGAAAGACCTGCCACTCAAAGTTTTACGAAGCTAAAGTCAAAGAATTGAAAGAGAGTGACCCAGCAAAGTGGTGGAAGGAAATAAAGAAACTTAGTGGAATGACGGAACAATTCACAACCCCCGAAGATATTATATCCGAACTACATAATGTGGAATTTAGATCGACTAATTCGACGTCTTGTGACCCCGACCCTCACCAACTCGCCAACTTGATAAATGAAGCATTTCTGGCACCGACGAAAGACTTCAATCCCCCCTACCTCCAAATAGTCCGCAACGAAATGTCGACGAAGATGCAACAAATTTCCAAGTTACCGAATTTCAGGTCTTTAAAAGCTTATCAACCTTGAACTCAAGTAAATCCATGGGACCAGATGGCATCCCTGGTTGGGTCCTTAAAGAAAACGCGGATATATTAGCACAATCCATTGCGGACATTATAAATAAATCATACAGCGAGACCCATCTCCCATTACCCTGGAAGTCCGCAGATGTTGTACCAATCCCGAAGGAAAAATCAGTGCGTGACGTAAACCGTCATCTGCGACCCATTTCCCTAACCCCGATTATGTCGAAAGTCGCCGAGGACTATGTTGTGGACTGTTTTGTCAAACCAACTGTACTTAAAAAAGTAGATCCCAATCATTACGGAACGATTCCTAATTCAAGCACCGTCCATGCCCTCGTAAGCATGCTTCATTCTTGGAGCGGATCAACAGACGGAAACGGCGGATCAACTAGAGTGATGGTGTTTGAGAGTCGGGCCTTTTAGAGTCAGGCCTTCGACCGGATTGACCATCACTTGTTACTACAGAAGATTTTTTGACCTGCAGAAAACAGCGGGTCAAACTGAACTATGATTGTTATTCTGAATGGGAACCAGTTACAGCAGGTGTCCCCCAAGGAACAAAACTTGGCCCATGGCTATTCACAATAATGATTAACGACTTAGTGATTCCCACATCTGATATGTGGAAGTTTGTCCACGATTCAACTTTATCGGAAGCAATCAAAAAAGGAGATACAAGTTACATTCAAAATGAAGTTGATCAATTCACTATCCAAGCAAAAGGTAATAAATTCCAACTAAATGAGAGAAAGTGCAAAGAACTACGTATTGGATTTAATCGGAATACACCGCAATTCGACCCTATCCTAATTAATAACAACCCTGTCGAAGTCGCTCCTTGGTCTCTATGTCTCCAATAACCTGAAGTGGAACAATCATATTCATGAAATCATCAAAAAAGCGCGGAAAAGACTGTTCTTCCTAAGCCAATTAAAAAAATCTAATATTGGCATCACGGAACTAATTTTATACTGCTTGCATCCGACCTATTTTGGAGTATGCATCCCCAGTCTTCCACGACAGTCCAACCGCCTATCTATCAAACGGTCTCGAAATGATACAAAAAAGAGCTCTGAGGATAATATTCCCTTGGGTCCCATATGATAAGGCACTTAGTGTTGCCGGTCTTCAGCAATTAAGTACACGAAGACAAAGATTTACTGACAAACTTTTCCATGAAATAGAATCTAATGATAGCCATAGATTGCATAACTTACTACCTCCTCGTAATTTGAACCATTTTAGTCTAAGAACAATACACAAATTTAATGTTAACTTCCAGACAGAACGACATATAGGAAAACTTTTATTGTACGTAATTCATTAAAATTTTAACATATGATAAAATTTAAAGTATTTCTTAGTCTATAGTACACCATGTAATAGCGATTGAGGCTTATTTTTGTAATAGTTAACACAATTCAGCCCTTGGGCTGCAAAGTTAATTTTAATAAAACTATCTATCTATCTAGACCCACCCAAATAATAGAGCCCCCTAAGTTACTTTTGCGAGAACTCTCGTTTTTGAAGCATTGTATTTTTCGTTTTGTATAGATTCTGCTATTTAGTCAAATGACGAAGTTACTGAATATTTTAGAAGACCTTTGCTACATACGCAATTACAAATATTCACGAATTGATGGCTCAATGAAATTCGAAGACCGACAGACACAAGTAAGTAACTATATAATAGCCGTATACACTTAGCAATTCTTGTTGCGCTTTCTACGGCGGGCTTTTTAATGCAGTCCAATGTTAGCACTCGGCGAATTTACTGCAACTTTGGTGCGACCATAGTGCAAGTTGCAGTGATTTACTCATTTTCAGTGATTTTACTAATTTACACCATTGATCAAGAATTTTCGCGTGTTTTTTGTTTTATTTTATACTTTGACCTTTTTTTTAACAAAATAAGGCACTTTTAAAAACTTTAGTAAGTTTAAAGTGTTCCCTATTATATACTTGAGTCACCTATATACTAGAAAATACATGCATGCAGAAACCCTCGCCTTGCTAACAAAACCGTTGTATTTTCCGAACATGAAGTATCTAAAGTAGTTGTTATGGTAACACGATAATTTTTTAAGAATATTCTTACAAATGAAAATCGCCTAAAAATATCACTTTTAATTACAAAATTATCAATTTCTCAACATATATATATATGTTAGGTATGTAATTATACGTAATACAAGCTTCAATTTAAGGTAAAATTCAACAACAAACAATTCACAAAACGTTTTAAAAGTGTTCTTTATAAAACTAAACTGCCTTTAACTATTAAATGGCTTTATCGATAAACTTTGAGTTTGCAATAAAATGATTTCAAATTCTTGCTGCAAGTAACTTTGCTTTATTTTTTATTTAAAAAATTCAATATAATAAAAAAGGGAATCAATATTAAAGATACACTGAAATTATATGCTCTCTTGTATGTCTTGTTTAGTTGTTTGATATACGCAAAAGCCGTCGGGTTTTAAAGCCATTATAAAATCAATATTTAAAACAAACTTACCTTCGTTAACGTCAGCTCCGTTCTTTTAGCTGATCCTTTGGCCCTTTCATTCTTGAAATTTACAAAATCTTGCAGAAATACGAGCAAAAATGAAGAATATTTGCAAGAAATTTGACAAATTTATCAATCATCAACTCATCAAATCAAGAAATGTTTGCTATTTCGCTGTCGTCATGCGCATGCAGTCGTTATAATGCAAACTTTAAATTGGACCAATCAGTGTCCGTTATTCATGACAGTTCGCCATATTTTTGAGATCAGTGAGGATGACCACCCATCGTTGGTGACCGACGCCCGCGCTCATTGATGAACTTTAGACTTCCCTAATGCTTTCGTTTCCCCGGGTGTATATAGCCGGGGGGAATTAGTACCCTCGCACGGCGCTTCGCGCCGCCGGCTCGGGGATAATATTGTTTTGGGGTCTTTATAGCCTTTTCTTAACCTCAAAAACTTTGCCGACTATATCTCGGTTTAGATATTTGTAGTTCTCCTCATTATTATTCAGCATATCAGGAAATAATGTTGGATCCTGGCATCTATAGGATTCCCGAAAATCTTCAGACCAGGCTATATATTTCTCAATTTCACTGTCAAAAAAATGAATAATTCACTACCTCAAGTTGGTCTGCCATTTTTTAGCGACAAAAACCCAGCAAATTAAAGGCGCTGTTACACTATGCCACTTATCTTGCAACTTGTGTCGCAATTTTGTTGCGACACAAGTCGCACGCAAAATTGCAATGTGTAACATACATCGTAATCACCAAGTCAACATTTTTGTTGCAGCAAGTGTTGCGAAAAGTAGAACCTGATTCTACTTCGTGCAACGCTTGCTGCAACAAAATTGCGAGACAAGTTGCATAGTGTAACAGCCCCTTAACTGAACCTCGTGGAGACCGTAAAATATACCACAATTCATTGCGTTGAGAAGATTTGGTAACCAGGTCTGTTCGCCAAATATAGTCAAATGTATCATCAAATTAATGTACCCTATCTCAAAAGAGAAAAGATGTGTAGTACATTGCACTGTAATTATTTCACTTGCATAGCAAATTTAATTATCAATTTAATATAAAATAGCAATTCATTCGATCGATATACCTAAATACGAAGTTAAATAGGAATTTCAACAGATACCACGATACTGATTTTGAGAAAATTTAGTTTGCTTGATTTCCGAAAAACATCTTCCTATGCAAGTGTAACAGATTTAATAATTGTTTTTGTTTGTGGAAACACCACGTAAATTTATTACTGCAAATTTATTTACGTGGTGTTTCCACAAACAAAAACAATTATATTTTATCGCCATGCAAACATTCAAAGAACTTATTGTAACAGATTTGTAAAAGACTGCGTGCTGGTTTTTAAGAATGGTGGAGAGACTAGACCTTTCAAATTAAGACAAAATAGGTAGCCATAAATAATCATATATATCTATGTTAGGGTTTTACTAGGATTTATTTTATGCCAAGCATATATAATGTGAATGTCTATTGATGGTTTTGTTGTGCATATGGGTGCTCGTGTCATTTCTGTTTTTCTCTTGAAGTGTATCGTCTAGTGTACCGACAACGTGTTTGTGTATGTTGCAGATTGAAGATTTTAATTCGGATCCTGAAATCTTCATATTTCTGTTGTCTACACGAGCTGGGGGACTGGGATTAAATTTAACTGCTGCAGATACAGTTATCATATATGATAGTGATTGGGTAAGTCGTTAAATTTGCTCATGTTAGGAAAGTTAAGATTTACCACCAACAGCAACACGACAGGAACGGCAAACTGGGTGTATATATACGCTACATTCAACAATAGTGTCAGCAGTCACATTATTTTCACCTCCTGGTCTGTCCTGTCTTGGCCCGAATTTTACATAGTTCTATAGGAGCAACCGACGTTCTAGTTCATATTGCTCAAACGTATAGTATTTAGCTTTCTGACCGTTTAGTAACAGTCGCTTGTTTGAAACTGAAATCGATTAACTAGCCAAAGCGACCAAGCTACGGGTTTCCTACCACTCTGAATTTTTTCCCACCATTTTGTCAATACAATACCTCGTTTTTTAAGTCTTCGTCTGCTTATTAGCCGAATTAATTTAAGCAGTCAATCAGCAAAGATGTATGTATACTGATGTGAATGTTCTAACGAAGTGTCTTTGCGTCAAAGCCTCGGATGGTTTCAACACACACACAATTTAAAGGGGCACTGTCATCAAAATTTTTATTTTCTTAAACGAAAATGCTCTTAAAACTGTATAGTAACTTGTTTTGAAGATTTTTGTTCCCATGCTTAGTTCATGAGATATTTCATTTTGTTTGTAACCATGTGACGTCATTTACTCAATTACATATATAATTAGATATCAGTAATTGTTGTGTATCAGTAATTATTGCTTCCTGGAAAGCGTTTTTCTTCCTGGAAAGTGTTTTGCTTCGTATAGGAAAATTTATTTTCGTAATAATAATCCCAAGTGTAGGCTAACAGTGAAATATTCGAGTAACAATGTTCCAAATGTGTCAACAGTAATGCTTCCTAGATTGGTCTGGACATAATGTATCTTGTGACGCAATGGCCCTGTCCGGTAATTACGTCACGACTAACACTGTTTTCAACTTAGGACCACCTTAAATGGACTGGATTTTAAGTTTATTTCTCACGGGCTACGGTCAGAGAAGCAGGACATCCTTCGTCAACACAGCATAAAAATAATTTTGGATTTTGACCAATAAATGTGGAAATAAATGTAAACACGAAAAGGGACCATGACCCAAGAGGGACCATGGCCCCTCAGCCTCGTTTTCGTGTTTAAGCTTATTTGCACATTTAATAGCCAAAATCCAAAATTCCTTTTATTAATGTGTTGACGAAGCATGTTCTGCATCTCTGACCATAGCCCGTGAGAAACAAACTTGAAATCTATTTCATTTAAGGTGGTCCTAAGTTGAAAACAGCGTAGTTGTGACGTAATTACCGGAAAGGTCTATTTGGTGTTTTCTAGAACCCACAACAAGATTTACAAGCGCAAGATAGATGTCATCGTATTGGTCAAACTAAACCTGTTGTTGTCTATCGTCTTATCGCCGCCAATACGGTTGATCAGAGGATTGTTGAAGTTGCTCATGAGAAACGTAGGTTGGAGAAAATGATCATACATAAAGGTAAGTTTTATTTTCTTGACCAGCCAATTGTCCTTCCAATTGTCCTTCCAGGGAGAAGTTCACTAACTAGACACCAAGGCATATTTTAAAGATTTACAAGTGGGGGGCCATAACTTGGATGAAAGGCCGTTGAAGCCGACTCACGAATAAGATAAAATGAAAGTGTCAAAAAGAATTAGAGCAGTTTGCAGTTGTTTTTGCAAACCGGGCACCATGCGAATTTTGCCATTTCACCCATTTGTCGTGCTTCATTTGCCAAATCAAAAGAACGAATGTGTGCTTCAGCCCGATTTCCGGTTCTGAAAGGCCCGATTCGCAGGTAAACAGTGCGCGCAAAGCAGGCTGGTTATCATTTTTTTAAATCTTGAAGAAACGCTGATTGACTGTTGTGCACTGATTCCAGTACAACAGCCAATCAGCGCTTCTTCAAGATTTAAAAAATATGACAACATCACAGGGTAGGTGACCCCAGCATAGTTTTGACAAAATTTGGGAAAAAAACCCACGAAAATATTGTGAAGGATCAAGTCGATGAAAGCACAAAACCTCCAAGGCAGAAGCTAATTGAATCCTGCCGTTCTCCCAATCCATGAGCTGTATATCAGGTGGACGTGTTTTTTTGTTTGGTTTTGCACTTCTGATAAAAATGAACAAGGCGTTTTGCTATGAAACTGTGATATTTTTTGTTTTAATCACTTTAATTTTGTAGAAACACGCAAGTATTTCTAAACGACTTTTTAAACCTTTATTAAAAATTGGTGTACAATTTAGCAATTTTCACAGTTGACAGTGTATGTTTTTAAAGAATTGCTTCGTGGGTAGTTTTTTTAGTCTAGTGATATTCGTATCATATGTAAAATTACTGTATGTACTCGCAATTGATTTGGCACCCAAAACGAAGGGTTATTCAATGCTGGCATGTTTTCCGTATAAACGTTTCAGAAATAGCTTTTTTTTTTAAAAAAAAAGCCCCGGTTAATTTTTGTTTTGATCGTGCGGTTGCGTTCATGGATAGTCCACTTACTGGTCCCGCGAACATCCCGCATGCTACTGTAGGGAGCCTCCGTAAACCAGAGTACAGTGTAGCTGTAGCGAAAACCAGTGGCAAAAACATGATTGTCTAATACATGAATGATTTTCCAACTTTTTCTTAAAGTTCACATGCAGTATATAAGAACCCGCGCTAACAGGTGCATGCAATGTATTTGTGAACAAATTTTAAGTATCTCGTTTAGTTTGTGCCACGGTCTTCCCTTCTGTACGAACAAAATTATCTGTTTTTTTAATAGAAAAGTTTAAGGGAAGACTCAATGAAAAGAAACTTACTGCGAAGGAATTGAAGGAATTATTGCAATCAACAGATCACATGGCTGCTATCAATTCTGACGATATCACTGGCACTTGGGTACTATCTACTGAACAATTAAACAAGTTATTAGACCGAAGTGATATGCTTCCAGGTGGTGCAACTGTTGCTGAAAACTCGGACGAAGACAATCAACTGTTTAAAGTTGTTACACGTGATGAAATAATGAACATTCCATAAAAAATACTTTGATCAAAATTAGATTTTTATTTTCTTATTTTTGCCGTGCAATGAAGATCATTTCGGCATATGCATGACGTCGTATAACTACAACTACCAGAATTAAATACAATATACAATTAAATATGTACTATTTAAAACACGAGCAGGAGCTAGTGCTTTGTCAGATATAAAACACGAGTGCGCAGCACGAGTTGTTTTGGGCTTAGTTGTTTTAAATTACTTAAAAACGACCCATCTTATGAGTTCATTGGCAAAGTAATTTTAAAAATCAACGTTGTCTAAGCCGAGAAAATCAAAGCTAAAATTTACGTAAATTAACATGATTTTTTATCACATATAAACCACCGACACGGCAGTGACTTCCTTTGTCTTTTCCTCATGAATTATTAACGAGTTTTTTTAATTATTAAGGTGTTCTAAGCACTAAAACCACGAGAAACATATTAAAGACAAACATGCACATTTTGTCTTCCAAATGGGAGGTCAAAAACTAAAATGTAGTTTGCTGAAGCCAAATCTCATTCACGTCTGATGAAAATTGGCATGCTAAATATCAAATCATGTGTTACTTGTTAATAAATAAATTTTTAGCAAAATTAAGAATTTCTACTGGTGACGTACCAGTGCGAATATGCCGTTTACAAGACGGTGCGAGGTTGAAACACCATATTGTATCTGTTTTTCCTTGTTATTACTCCATACGTGCCATAATTCTGGTAGTTGCATTCAAATGAATGATGAACTCCAACGCACCTACAACCGGAAATTTGAAGGCAAACTTGAAGACCAGTCCCAGTTCTTCACGCATGCGAAGAGCCCTCAATCTGTCAATCATGACGTAAACACGCGTGTCTGTAGGTCAAATTTGGCTTCAAGAAAAAAATAGACAGCTTGTCTGAAGGTAGCGTTCCAGTCCGTATTCATTTCAATGGGTAGTTGTAGTGTAATGACGTCATCATGCAAGGGCGTCGTCATGCAGTTGCTGAAATATAGTTTTTGTATATTTCACCATGGTACACAGATGAAGTGCTCACATGCATACACACAGTATTTCATTATCCAATATAAGTACTTGCAATTTGGTCTGATATGTTTTATAAATATGAGATGGGTGGCAAAAAGGTTGGAACAATGAGTCCTAAATATTACTTCCTAATATTACAATTCTTGCCAACCTTTCTTTGTTAACTTGTGGGATATTTGGGTATATTCAAATAATCAAATTATATATTTTGATTATAAAAGTAAATACAAGTAAATAGTAATTTCACTGTTAATATTTTGTTACATATTTTTTCAGTTCGACACTTTATGCAATAAATTGAAGTTTAAGATTGTTTAATATAATAATAATAATTTATTATTTATATTGCGCAAATATCCATATGTATATGATCAAATGCGCATTAAGATTGTTTAACAACTGGTGAAGCAATTGGGCACGTAGTTCATTCTCCTCAAAACGAGTAGGTGTGTCAAGATGAAAACCAGAAATGAAAAGAGCTATTATTAGTATATGGGAAAAGTGGCAATCAATTTGAGGTACGATAATTTCCAAATGCTCACCAGAGAATTTTCCAATACAAATCCTTAGAAAATTTTCAACCTTAAATTAGAAATACATTAATACAAACCCCTCGCCCGAAAATATTCTTCCTTTCTTTAATGGCACTGGAAGCAGTTGCTTAACCCGGCATATATTTTTTTTATATTGTAAGCGTAGTGGTAACGGCATTCCCTTTGTATTTTCTTGTCACGAGTTCAAATCCCGTTCGAGTAAAGCATATCTTCAAAATGTAATGTATAATTTTGACTTTCTAGGGCCATGGGCGTACGGGAAGGAAAAAATTAGGGGGCAGAAAGAAATTTGCCTGATTTTTTCGGATTGTGCCCGAGTTGTCAGAAAAATTTTCCGGAGAAACTTTCAAAAATTGTTGTCGAAGGAGGGGGGGAGTGATTACGAAAAATTCCTATTAGATAGCATATTTCCCACAAAATTGACAGAATTTGTCCCATTTATTTTTATAATAAGCCAATATTGCCCGACTGTGAAGCGAATATTGCCCGCTTTGTTTGCCCAACAAAATGGGGGGGGGGGGCTGCCACCCCCCGCCCGGTACGCCTATGTCTAGGAGGTGGCTTTGCCGAGGGCAAAAACTGAAACGTTGCGCTTGCAGGTGCTCTTTCATTTCACACCTGCAAGGTGGGGTCACATTAGCAATTGTTGCTAAATGCCTATTCCAACAACGACAGTGAAAACTACAGTCAACAACAGCGATGAAGCTACAATCTTGGGACATAACTGGTTGAGACTAGTTTCCTCTAAACAAATACCTCTTATGATAAACCCTCGTGTAAAAACATGCTGTACTTCAGCCCCAACTCAATGTTGCGACTTCTGTCTGATGGTAAATTACCAAAAATGTTTTAGCGCTAGGTGTTTACAACATTGAACTGAGGGAGTGACAGTGAGGTGTTTTGTCAATGTACATTAGGGACCTACACCTCAATAGATTGAGTCGCCCTAAAAATCGATTAAGTCGTTTATGTCTGTTACTAATGGCGTGAGTTTTTTCAATCGCCAGGTACTTCAACTATGCTAATTTGCTGGCAATTTTGAAGCAATTTTCCCGTCCAATTGCAAATTCTTCAATTCGGTGCCAGAAAGTGCAGGAAATGGCTATTCCGACCATCATTTTTTCCAAGCACCTCCCCGGGACTCCACAGACTCCATAGGTAATTCGGCCCCTCTAACTTTAAATATCTTCCTACGCTATTAATGACCGACAGTTGGATCTTGTTCCGCCGCATTAGCCAGTTCTCACGGCCAATTTTTCCGCCATTTTTGGGGTACTGTCTCTCCCACGTTTGAAAGGAGACTCTCAAACGTAGGAGAGACAGTACCAGGGGCGGACTGGCAGGTCGGGCTCACCGGGCAAACGCCCGGTGAGCCTCTTGCTTGTAAGGCCGTTTTGGGCCCCTTCAAATTGGCTTAAATGTCATTTAAATAAATTGCTAGAAGCTCCAAATCATAAGCATGAAAAGCAGGAAGCACGCTTCAACCACTTTTCTCAACCGACTAAGGGCCCCTGCGATCTTTTCTCCTTGGTAGTTTTCTTTTAAATATACACAAAAAGATACTAAGGGATGGCTTTGGGGGGGTGGGGGGCGCCAAAACGCAAAACAGGATAAGTGGGCGTTTTCAGCTGCAGAAAAGCGTGATTAACTCGAAGATATTCTCGGGTCAGTGCGCAAATTTGCAATTTAAGGCAATATAAAGTATAGTTATATACTGAAAAAATCGATGGGGCACTGCATGTTAGTATCGACACTACATGTTATTATCTTATAGGGCCCGCCAATCCTATGCCTAAAATTTAGCTTTGAAATCTTGGCAACTGGGCAACTTTTCAATTACAACACCACTCTCCGAATGCCTTCAAACGTGAGGCTTAAATCTTCTTAAAAGCATCGAGAATGGTTCAATCTGCTATTGGGAAAAAAAGCCAAGAGCAAACGGGTTTGCTTTGATACCAATGTTGCAGTAGAAGAAAGTCTACTATCCAAAGCGACAAAAAGGAATTCGAAAAAGGAAACTACATTTCGGTGAAAATGATGACACTGACAATAGGGCGATGGATGCTCACGAGGACTATCAAGTGAATGTATTCAATGTCGTAATGGATCAAATTGTAACAAGCACCAATAGTAGATTTGAGAACCACAAGGACTTTACCAAGATGTTTCCTGTTTGGACCCTTGCCAGTTCGATGAATGCAGAAGACAGAGCCTGCCTCAAAATGAATTAGAGAGTCTTTGTGAAAAGATTGCAAATCATATTGACACAATTCATGCAGAAACAAGTCTTGCAGGTCATGTTTCAGCTGCGATTTCAAACGCTTTTATGAATATGGTCTCAACATATCTACGTATTCCGAACTATATGCAGCTTATCAGTATTTAGTACCGCTTAGTGTAACACATGCAAGTCGAATGCGAAAGAAGTTTCTTGACGCTTAAATTTATATTAAGAAGCGACATTGGGCAGGAAAAATTAGAGGCACTCATGCTGACGTACATGCATAAACAGATGATCAATTACATATCAAATGAACAGATCATCAACCATTGGGTGGGGGGGGTCAGGGCCTCCATCTAACCAAATCGCCCGCGCCCCCTTGAGGTAGCCAGCCCGCCCCTGGACAGTACCCCAAAAATGGCGCACCACGAAATACAACTTTTTAGTATTGTAGTTGTTTGTATAATGGTAAATTTACAGTTACAACTTTTAATTGTCTAGAATCTTTTACGAGGGCGGGGGGCATGCAGACAGTACCGGATTGGCTTTCGTGAGAAAGGCAAAAATCCCAAGAGTTTTCGTCAAATGCGCGTCATGTTTCAGTGTAGAAGCTTGGGTGCGAATTAAGGTGGCTCCCTACAGTTAGTAAAGTTTAAATACGATTTATATAGATCAGACTTCATCCTCGCGACCTGCGCGTGGAATCGTGTTTACTGTTCTGCAAAAATATTGAAACAAACCGTGGGAAGTTTTTTGGCGTTTTTTATCTACAAAGAAAGCAGTGGCGTAACGCAACCGCTGGGGGCCCTCCGTCAATCGGCCACTTTGGGCCCCTTTGCAACACTAAAAATAGGCTCCAAAAATTTTTCTCGGAACAATTTATTTTTGGCGACCTCCTGGGCCCCTCGGAACAATTTATTTTTGGCGACCTCCACCCCCACGTCGCCAAAAAATTTTCGGACATTGTACCATTTTAGGGGTCCAAAATTTTTTCCGGACATACCCAATGAAATTGCAATTAATTCATTCTAGTATCTCGTCCTTTACCTCAGCCGCGACGTACTTAATCCGTCGCAGCTTCGGGAAATTTCTCGACGGATTTTTTTTTATTCAATTCAATTCAAAACCTGTATAGAATTTAAAATTTGTGTCATTGGCAAGTACATGTTCTATTCGCAATACACACTGTTCGTATTTAGCTAGATGATAACTCATAATATTTTCTTTGTAAAACTGCATGTTCAGTTTTTAATCTTTCATTGGTTGACTCTTGTGTATCAATGCCAGTCGTTTGTTGTTCAGACTGGGTTGTTCAGTCTCACTACAGTAGCTGTCTATAATAATATATGTTCCCTGCCTTGGCTACTGTTTACAGTTTGTCTACATGATACTTAACGACAGTTGGCAATGCACTAAAAGATTTCTCAGGGTAAGGAACACACTTTGTGGCTTTTTCATAAAAGGTTCACTTTGTATTCTCAATATAAAATTCAGCCATATTTCTCACAGGAAATTTATGGAAGGATAATTCCGAATTTTTAACACTGTCGCTTCGACAAAGTGGCACACAACAGGTCGTTCCCCTGTACATCTGTACCTTTAGGCACTTTTTTCCGTGTCACTTGCCATATTTATCCAAACAAACAGCAAACCAAACGGCTCGAAACTTTCCAAAATATACTCGAAACAAGCGAGGTTGCTTTAAATTTGACTCGCGTAAATATGTTGTAGTTAAAACTCCAATAAGACACTTGAACAGCAGTGAATAGTACTTAAAAGTACTTTATGAATCTTTGAAAACCTTTGAAATGTGAAAGCTTGGTATTTCAAACAGTAACTGTTTTGATTTTTCGCGCCAAACAACCTCAATGTTTTGTGGTTGTGAAACGAACGTTTGATCAAACATCTGTTGCTTTGGGACGGTCAAGTGTGCAAACATTTTTGTCTCTCGATTCGCTAGAATTAAACCGATCATTAAAATTTTTAGGCAAATAATAGTTTACAACGTGTTCCTTCTTTCGAAAATAATTTAATGCAGTACTCACCTTCATGTTGTGAAATATTCAAAAATTTGTTCCTGACTACTACGAATCGAACTCCTTCCCCGCTTCAGTGACTTTGTACGCCATGTTAAATATTTCAACCGCACTCACTCGTAGAAGTCCAAGACGAAGTAGAAATATGAAACAAGTCGTACAGATTTAGTCAAAACTTTAACCAAAGCGAAAATGATAAAAGTTTTCTTGCAATTCTCATGTGTTTAGCACCTTCCCTCGTTCGAAAAGTATAAGCGCCATGTTGAAAAATTCTGCTGTGTAACTAAACTACCATGATGCTTAGCAATTCCGCAATTGGCTCATTCAATTCCCCAGAAATGTGCTATCAAATTTTTTAAGGTCATTTTTGTTGGGGGCCCCTAAAGTTCGGGGGCCCCCCGTCTCTGGACACCCTGACACCCTCCCGTTACGCCACTGAAAGAAAGCCCCAGTTTTTCATTATAATCCTATTTTTTTCTTAATTCGAACAGTACGTATGTTATTAACTAGTTTAACCTATCTTTTAGTGTGTTTTTACGTATTTACGTTCAGTATTGTCTTTCATATTGCTCAAAATTTTCAACTTGTTGTTTTGCGAGCTGTCAAACTGAAATGACACTGTCTTCTATTAACTCTTGAACAGTAGTGAACTGTTGCCGAAACTTATATAAGTTCTGTCAATCAATTCAATTTACAGGTATCGTTTTATCTGCTAAATCAAATAAAACAGTTATGAGTTGTTTTATATGAAAAGTTAAACTTGTAGTTCGATGTTTTGAAAAGTTTTCACACCGACTTTAACAACAAAAACAAATGTAAACTAACACTGGATTTAATACAATGCCTATAATAGTGTTTTTATTAGTATTTTCAAGATTAATATTTTATTTTCATGTCAAACAAGTCAGAAATATCTGTTTTCTTATGTATTGTAAGCCAAAAAGTTGAAATCACTATAAATCACACGCTACAATTTACACGCATGCGCAGATCGTGCTCATGTCGAGTCGATTTTTTTTCATGCTGGCCACGCCGATTTTAGCGATGATTTTCTCGTGTTTTCTTCGGTGAAATTTTTTTAAACTTTGTATTTTTGTTAAACAAGAGGAATGGTACAACATATCCAAATTTTAAGAAATTCTATAAATAACTTTTTCTGTAACCGTCATTCACGAATATCTCGAAAACTTATTTATAAATTCCCTTCAAATTTTGATATGTTTCTCCTTTATGGACCATAAATCTTCAAAAAAAATTTCAGAAAAATTCACCGAAGGAAAATATAGATATTGTCCATTTATTGTGAAATTAGGCAATAAAAGTGCAAAAGATTACACGTCATGGTTGCCATGGCAACACAAACACTGTTTTAATTTGTTCATAAATGGACAGCACACAGCTTCTGAACTTTCCTGGAAATGATCATATTGCCTTGTCTTAAGTGTATCTAATATAAATTCGGTTCAAAGCGAACGATACTCAAAATACCTAGAATTTTAGAGAACTGTAGGGAGCCACCTTAAGGAGTCCAAGATGGCGTCGATGTGGATGAGAAAAATTCGGTATGTTTATTGTATTGAGAAATTTACTGCTTTATCCTAGAGAAAAACTGATTATGCTGTTAGGTTATATTAATACAACTGTACGACTTTTATTTAGTCCTTTGTGCAGAGTATCATGTCTTTCACCCTCCGTGAGGACTACAACACTTCTTTCAAAATGGTGAGTTGAGTGCACGACTTCTTCAAAGTTCTTTAATAACTAACTGATAGTTTCAACATATTCATAATTATTGTTTTCGCCCAATAAAATGTGAATTTTATATCAAATTATGTCTAATACATACTGTACGTACGGGATACCTTTTTATATATTTGACAAAATATTATTGTATGCAGTCGGTTTGTCAACGTGCAAGACAGCACGTTTCATGGTTTGGTGAAAAATTTTATTTTATTTTGTATACAATTTAAAAATTTCAATTTATATAATTTTGAGGTACATTTTTCATTATAATATGGTCAATGTTTACTAATTCCCAGGCTAATTCTTTAATTATTACTTACCTAGGGGCCACATCCATATTCATGTTGCCACAAATACAAATGTTGAATCGACGTTATTACTTCACCCTCTCCAGATAACGTCGATTGATATTCAGTCATATTGTGACTTTCGTATTTATAATACAAAAGCAGTACTGTGATAGTTACGTCAACTGGACATTAATTGTCAAATTGCTATGAGATAACGTCGATAAGTTCGCATAAAAACCCACCCAACACTCATAACGTTGATTCAACATTATTTGTGGCAACATGAATATGGATGTATCCCTAAAATGACAGTCAAGCCTGACTGGGGAATTTTTATGTTTCAAAATGTTTCAAAAATTTAGGCGTAAATATATATATAGAAAACATCATCCACAGTGGCAGTCAAGTGTGTTCTTATCATGCACAAGTTTTGTTTACAAAATGTATTTTTGATCATTGACAATACCTTAAAGTTTCTCTATTGCTATCCTGAAATAATGTCACAAAGATTGGGGTTAAGATTTGGGTTAGGGTAATTATCCAATTGGTTAACAAAGTTGATGACATATATATACAACCACCATTTTCTTGGTAACAAGTTTAATTTATGGCTTAAAGTTAATGCATTTTTACTTATAAGTTAATTCATTGATGAACATCAACGAAATATAGATTTGAACAAATCATATGTACAGTACTGATATCATTTTAATTACATAGATATGCTACAGTAGACCTATATTCCATCCTTAGGGTTGACACCACATAATATCACAGTAACAGTTCAATAAACTTGGTTCCAGCCAGATCTTTTTTCTAGACCCACTTCAGGCTGGTACTTTTGGCACAGTACCATAAAAAATCTGAACTCGACATGTTTGTGTAATCTTAATACATTATATTGTATTGTCTGTGCAGCTCACCAGTGGTTGGAGTTTTAAGCCAGAGAAATGCTTCAGAAAGTTTTGTGGCCAAAAATGAAAGGCTGGGAAGGCCAACATCACCTCATATGTTGATATACAAGTAAGTGTCAAATTCTTTGGTAATTTTCAAGATCTTTCACTATAAATTTGAAATGAAACTGCATTTATATGCAAGTTGATGAGTGCAGTGGTAAAAATATTTTCATCAGGGGCCGGTTGTATAAAAAAGTGATTAAAATTAACTATAATTAAGTGCAAACGTCATCCAATAAGAAGCGCGTGTTTGAGAGTTAATCACTATTTAACTACGGTACAAAATAGTGATTAAAAAAGTGATTAAGAGTTTTATACAACCGGCCCCAGGTGAAAGATGAAATCTTCCATTTAACAATGCAGCCAAATTGAATGGAACATTGTATAAAATAATCTTTCACCCAATGAAAATTTTCTTATCATTGCACAAATAAAGACATTCTACAGGGTGTATCAAAAAAAACTGAACAGATTTAAAATTGGTCTCAATTTCGCAAAACAGCTATTTGTATCCGGTTTTTTATATATATAGCCTCTTTGGGTACTTATAATGTAGAATAATGAGAAAAATTTCTCGAACTCAAATTTTGTTAACCAGGGGGGGGTGTCTTTTGCAACTAACTAAAAATGGCTCGCGCACAAAATTTAAAAGCTGCAATCATATTTTGAGTTAACAGATGGAAAATTTGTCGGGATTTTAATTACTGTACAATATTTCAGACAATTTGGTTTAGTTTAAGCCCTTAACTATTCACGCAAAGTTACAATTTTCCCGAAAAATCAGCTATTTGCATGCTTAATTAATGCATTTGCCTAATTTGCATATGTCAGCAATATGCAAATTAGGTAAAGGCATTAATTAAGCATGCGAAAGGCTGACTTTTTAGAACAAAATGAATAGTTAAAGGTCTTAAACTAAACCAAATTGTCTGAAATTTTGTACAGGAATTAAAAACCCGACAAATTTTCAATCTATTAACTCAAAATATGATTACAGCTTTTAAATTTTGTGCGCGAGCCATTTTTAATTTGTTGGAAAAGACACACCCCCCTGGTTCACAAAATTTGAGTTCGAGAAATTTTTTTCATTATTTTACATTATAAGTACCCGAAGTAGCTATATATATTAAAAACCAGATACAAATAGGTGTTTTGCGAAATTGAGAGCAATTTCAAATCTGTTCAGTTTTTTTTGATACACCCTGTATATTTGTTTTATACTCTAATACTGTATGACACCAATTAACAATTAGTTGCCGAAGGTGAGGCAATTACAAGCCTATAATCACCGAGTCTGAGGTGACTAATTGTTTTAGTAGAATTTCAGTATGGTATTGAAAAAGTTTTATTTATAAATACAATTAATTTAATACACATGTTTATTTTATGAATATAGTTTGCATAAATATTTTACTTCCATCTGATTTTCAGCCATTTTTTTGAAAAAGCAATAGTTACTGCTCAGAGCAGTCTGAGCAGTAGATTGATAGTAGATTAAGTTTTTTAGTGGTAGGGGGCTAAAATTTTAAAATTAAATCAATTACGTTATGACTTGTCATTAATTTAAATGAAGTAGCGTCATACTCATATTTTTTAAAGGAGTTCCTTACTGCATGCTGTGCTGTATGACATGCATTTTTTGTGCTTCAGTTCGCTGACTGCCGTATTAGATTAAAGTTCATAGATACAAGAATCAAATATTTTATAATAATTCATTTTATCACTAAATATTTGCATTTGCCATAATTTTTTCTGCTGTATTGTAAAAAAGAAAATTATGGAGGAAGAGCAAGTTTCAAAACTCAATTGAAGATTGAGTATTTACTACCATATACCAGTAGTAGAAATGTGCTTGTAAATATCCCTGGATACTATTTAATTTAATAATAATTAATAGACTATCATTAATTTTAAACAAAGTATTATTGCTAAAAATCATTTGATGTATAAAAATCTATTTATTTATTGTTAGGTTTGAGTTACCAGGTCTGCTTTCAGGCAGTCACAGAGCAACTGGATTTGTACAGTCTGGAGGTATATTCTTTTTAAATAGTAAATACTACTGTAAATACTGATAACTTAGATAAAATATCAAAGTGCACTGTACCCTAAAACCAATAATTGCACAGTATACCTTTACAATATATAAGGATATTATTTAGTTGCATATTACTTGATTTTCTTCATTAGCACAATTTACATTTCTGATTTCTATTTACACAAAGTACACTCTACAGGTTAGTTTTAGTGACATTTTCACTAGAAATCATACTGCTATAGCTGCATGGGTATTGCAGGTATTTTACGCTGAGTACAATTCAGATGAATTCGCTGAATTTAACTTGTATATACACTATCCTCCAACTCCATAACTCTGCTGTACTGTAGCTACAGATTTATCAGTTATAGTATTTAAAACCAACAATCTATTAGACGAAACTGCTTGACATTTGCTTTCTGTATATATCCAATGCACAGCTTTGTAAAACTCATGTGCGTAAATTGATGGTATGTTTTTGTAAACTGGAAAAACAATAGCTATAGACATGTGTTGAGCTAGGTGGCAAGAATATAAATCAAGCGTTATAGGTAGTATTGTCTACCTTATCTCTAACAAAGGTCTTGTTTCCTAAAATGCAATTATACTATTCAAAATTTTGTAAACTAACCAATTATATATTTGGGAAACATTGCAGTTGTGTCATTAGCTGCTATTGGTCTGATGTGTGCTCCTGAAAATCTCGAATTCTACGTCAACTACCTTCACTCGCTAGAACTACCGCGTGCTCTATTGGTTTCTACTAAAATGCTTTTTGCTTGGCCTTTTATGTACCACTTATTGAATGGCATTCGACACTTGGTAAGATCATATTAATAATACATGCATGGCGTAATTTATATACTAGAGACGAATGTTCCTTCTAGACAAACTTAAGCAAAGAAACGACAGTGTGTGTGTGTGTCTGGTCATTTGTGATATAATCTTGAACGGTCTGCGCCAGTGTAGTGCCAGTAATAACAAAACTTGATAGGGATGCAACTACCTGAAAAATACAAGGAGAACTTCGACGTTTTGAGGCCCTATATACTATAAACTCCCGACGAAGGGCCTTCGCTCGAAACGTCGACGTTCTCCCACAGGGGGCCCCACTATGAGTTATGACTGAAATAATATTGTATTTATTTTTAAAAACCTACTTGAATCCCTTGATAATCGATTATTTCTTCTCTCGAAATTCTGTAAACATTTTAAACTGCTTGGAGTCATTATACTATCACTCTACGTGACGTTTCATGAAGTATAGATGATCGCTGACAAGTAAGGACCGCGGGCGCGAAAAGACGAAGGCGGCGAAAGAAGGAAGAATCTTACTTCTTTCGCTAACCTGAAGTTCAGGCCCTGTCACAGAATAGGGCCTGTCCGGCCTGACACAAAACCTATCTAAAGTGTGGGATTCCCGTCCACCTGGTGGACGGGAAATCTGATTGGTTGATCAGCATCATGAAGGATTTTGATTGGCTGCAAGTTCACATAAACAACAGTTTTAAAAATAGCTCGGTCAAGGCGAGAATTAATATAAAGGTCAAACGCACGTAACAAATTCCATTATCGATTTCTTCGAATTTCTTTCCTTTTATGCTTTATGGAAGAAAATAAATCAAACAAACAGTATTTTGAAAGGGCTTCATCAAAATCTTTGACGAATTTTGGACATACACGACGCTGAAAGAACAGCCAAACTAGTCCTGTATTCGAAAGCTTGTTGTTGACAGCCAAGATGTTCTGCCCACTTGCTTCGCCGGCAAAAGTCTTATTTTTAATATCAGGTCCTACCGGCGTTGTTTTCTGAGCTACATCGCCTTCTTCGTGGTATGATTGAGAATTTAATTGTTGCTGTTATTAGCCCGTTAGTCGTTAGAGTATATTCGCGTCCAGCAAGTTGAGACCTTGAGAAAGCTTGGCAGTCAAGCCGTGCACAGAACTGACTAATTAAATCTTTGTTTGCTGTTCGCCTGTTCGGTTAAATAGAGAAACTGACTCTTAATTATATAAAAGTACCTTGAATTTTTAAGTTTAATTAAAAAGCAAAATGCTCTGCGGACATGTTCATGAGAATATATAGACTTGCCACAAGTCGACCATGGGAGAGGAAGGGCGCGGGGGAGGGAACACCAAAGAAGGGTCTGGAAAGGACTTTGGAAAGTCTAGAGAATATACTGTACTTTTTTTGTGTAACGAAATCTACAACACTTGTCAATCATATTGCATGTGTGTCTAAAAATAACATGTGGGCGTCTCACGGTCTAGACAGGTTTTGTGTCAGGCCCTATTTCAAATTAGGGCCTGAACTTCAGGTTATTCTTTCGCCGCCTTCGTCTTTTCGCGCCCGCGTTCTTATTTGTCAGCGATCATCTATACTTCATGTAGAGTGATAGTATAATGATTCAAGCAGTTTAAAATGTTTACAGAATTTCGAGAGAAGAAATAATCGATTATCAAGGGATTCAAGTAGGTTTTTAAAAATAAATACAATATTATTTCAATCATAACTCATAGTGGAGCCCCCTGTGGTTCTTCTTGTATTTTTCAGGTATAGTTGCATCCCTATCAACCGAAGTTTTGTCTGATCATTTGTCTGTGTGTACAAACCGTGAACTGATGGATCATCCGTCAAGGCGAACTAATTTATCTGGGTATAGTTTGTCTTCGGTAAACTTGTGTTAATGGATGATCCTTATAACACTATATACTGTTAGTACATGTAGAAAGAGTAATATTATACTGCATGTGTATGAAACACCAACCGCAAAGTTTACAAAATAGTGAAGGAATTGACATCATTCTGATGCATGTCTGAAGTCGCTTACCATACTTAGTTCCCAGGTCGCTTACCATATACTTAGTTCGCTTACCATACTTACTGTAGTCCCTTACCATGAAGTCGCTTACCATATTGACTTTCCAAATAACTGTACACTGCCATGTAAGCCCCTTACTACAGAACTCCATCAACTTAATACCACTACATTAAAACAGAGGATTAGTAATTTTATTCCAAAATTAATGGTGACTAATGTGAGATCTTTGGCCCCTAAAATAGACGAAGTCCGCGAATTCATGATGGAAAATGAGATAAACTTATCCTTTCTAACTGAAACTTGGCTCAATGACTCAATTACAGATAGCGTTGTAAGCATACCTGGGTTTACAATCATACGCAAAGATAGATCTATAAACAACCATGGCGGAATCTGTATTTATATCAGAGACGGTGATACGAAACTCAAAATCCTTTCAGAAATTTCATGTTGTTCCGAACACGAAATCTTATGACTTCATTTAAAACCTAGACGACTTCCTCGTGAATTTTCCTCAATCATAGTTGCCGTCCTATACCACCCCCCCAGTGCCGACGATTTCAGCATGCAGAGTCACTTATTTCAGACACTGAGCGAAGTCGAAGCAAAATTTTACAGCTGCGGTATTATCATTGCTGGGGATTTCAATCGTCTTAATGTGAATCATATAATTAAGCACTTTCGGTTGAAACAAATTGTTAAATCACCAACTCGAGGCGAAGCAATATTTGATCTAATATTAACTAATATGCACGAGTTCTACAAGTCTCCGCAAATACTCCCTCCAATTGGATTATCTGATCACAACACAGTTGTAGTTTCACCCACTCACATTGTGAAGAAAGCAAAACCTACATTTGTATACAAACGAGACCTTCGTCAGAGTAAGAAAGATGCCATGGGGAGATTTTTGCAATCAATCCTTTGGCCTGAAATTTTTGCTCAATCACAAAGCTGTGAAGATATGGCGAATTTTTTTTATGACATTGTAGCTATTGGTCTTGACCTCCTCATGCCAATTAAACGGATTAAGAAAATCTCTGCAGATGTTCCTTGGATGACCGATAAATTGAAAACATTTATAAAAAAAAGACAAGAAGCCTTTTTCAGTTACGGTCCAAAATCCAACTGCTTTAAATATTACCGAAATATTGTCAATCGCGAGAGAAAAGCGTGTAAATCAAAATACTATACGACCCAGGTTCACAGTAAAGAAAAAGATAACCCTAAAGCTTGGTGGAGTGAAATCAAACGCCTAGGAGGAATGAAATCAATGAATAGCTCCCTAATAAATTTGATAAATATCGCTGGTTTTGAAGATATATCGGAACAAGAACTAGCAAACAGAATAAATACAGCTTTTCTTGAGCCCTTATCAGAATATCAACTATCTTCACCGTTAGAGCGACTTAACTTAGAGGAAAACCCAGACTTCTTAGAAGTTTCTGAAGAAAGGGTTTTATCACAGCTACAAAAACTCAACCCCAGTAAAAGTGGTGGCCCTGACGAAGTGCCCAATTGGCTCTTGCGAGAGTATGCTGTAATCCTTGCCCTCCCAATTAGTCTACTCCTAAATGCATCCTACAAACAACAACGCCTACCTGCAATATGGAAACTTGCGAATGTTTCACCGCTGCCAAAAGTAAAAATAGTACAGGACCTGAAAAAAGAACTTAGGCCCATTTCATTAACACCTAATATTTCGAAGGTTGCAGAGCATTTCGTTGTTAATGATTATGTGAAACCAGCTGTTTTGAAGAAAATTGACCCCAATCAGTATGGAGCAATCCCTAAATCATCGACGATTTTTGCTCTTCTTAGTATGGTGCATAACTGGACCTCCGGGCTTGACGGTACCGGTTCTACAACTAGAATCATTCTATTCGATTACCAAAAAGCTTTTGATCTAATTGATCACAGAATTTTGTTCAATAAACTACTTCAGTTAGATCTACCACGAAGTGTTATAAATTGGATTATTGATTTCTTAAGTAACAGATTCCAAAGAGTCAAACTTTCACAAGGATGTTTTTCAGATTGGGGTGCAGTACCTTCGGGCGTCCCTCAAGGCACCATTTTAGGTCCATGGCTCTTTTTAATCCTGATAAATGATTTATCTATCACAGATACTGACTTATGGAAATACGTGGACGATACGACAGTATCGGAAACAGTTGACAAAAACCAACAGAGTAGAGCACAGACAATTGCTAATGAGATGTCACAATGGTCCCAAAACAATAAAATGAAGCTGAATGAAGAGAAATGTAAGGAGCTCCGTATTTCCTTCTCAAAAGTCCCTCGTGATTTTAACCCGATACTTATTAACAATAAAAGTATTAGAGTCGTAAAATCCGTTAAACTTCTGGGCTTGTCATTCGATAATAACCTGACGTGGAATCTACATATCGAAGAGGTATAGTTAAAAAAGTATCCAAACGAATCTATTACCTGATCCAACTCAAACGGGCCAGTATTCCTCGGAATGATCTGGTTCTATTTTATGTTACATGTATTCGATCTGTTATCGACTATGGTATCCCTGTCATTTACTATTCGTTGCCAAAATACTTGCGTTCCGAATTGGAAAGATTACAAAAAAGAGCTATTAGAATCATCTGTCCAAACACTAATTACGAAGACGCTTTAATTAGTTGTGGATTGGAGTCACTGTCTGTTCATCATGAAAATATTTTTACTAGTTTATTTCAAACAGTAGTTGCTGATGAAAATCATAAGTTACGAAGTTTACTGCCACCTATACATACTTCTTTTTATGATTTAAGAAACAATAGGAAATTTGAAATTCCTAGATGTAACACTAATCGTTTTCAAACTAGTTTTTTTGTGGCTTCGTGCCGCAAATCATTTATCTAATGCTATTGAAATGACCTAATATTTTTAATAATTTTAAATTTTTTAGTATATTAAAGTAATAAACATCTTGTATATATAATATTTATATGGAATGTCATCATAATGGCTTGATAAACTCTTCTTTTATATTCTCGTAATTAGTTAAATTTACTTGTAAAAAAATACGCAATTCAGCCTATGGCTGCGAAGTATTTTATTAAATCTATCTATCTATCTATCTATATATTTAGTTGCTTATACCATACTTAGTTCTGAAATCGCTTACCATACTTAGTCGCTTATACCATACTTAATTCTGAAATCGCTTACCATACTTAATTCGCTTGCAAAATTTAGTTCCCACGTACATAGTTCCCAACCTCTGGTTCTCAACAGAAACCGACTCCCGGCGATTTTCGCTGTCTATATTGTCGAAACGTTTCTTGCTTTTGTAACAGTAATTTTGCATGGTATTCTTCGTTTAATATTTCGATAATATGACAAAATCTCCATAACTACTCTCCATGCAAAGTGGCTGGAAATGCCATTTCAGAGGCTCTAAATTTCCAAATCTTCATGGAAATCGATTGGGAACCATGCACATGCTGTGCAGTTGCAACTCAGATTTCGTCTATACTCTATAGCTAATCTTTTTATAGGCATGGGATGTATCAGCAAGAGGCCTCAACCAAAGTGATATGTACAGAACTGGCTATCTTACACTTATCTCTTCCTTCTTGATAACTGGTGGATTAATCTGGTACTATTGATTCAACGATAAGGGACGCCAATCTTCATAAAGAGTTATTATTATAAATTGAATTTGAAATTCGAAGTATACAGTATAACTCTCAAGGGTTATAGTTCTGGATTTCAGAGAGCGTGGACAGATATTTAAAATAATTTAGTTTTGCGGGATTTGAAGTGGATCCCGTCTTCAAAATTCGAGGTAGCAAAATTCTTAGGTTGCTTATAATGCAGTGTACATTGCATGAGTGTCTTACAACAAGCTGGTTATTAACTGTTTTTCATCAATCCGCATTTTGTCACCCGTTCAGATCCTACTTGATATATCAAATAAACTTGGATTTGGTTAGTAAATAGAATTGGCTTGAGGATTGTAGGCGCTTCTATTATATATATAGCAACAGTTTATGTTGTGTATTATTTCATAAATAAAAGCGAATTTTTGAAAATGTTTCCAAGATTTTGTTTCCAAGAGTTCAAGAAAACCATTTGCAGAATTATATATTATACTTTAAACATTATACATAAGGCCAAATAAAAAAAAATACTTGGTTAGCGTCACCGCCCGCCTCTCGATTTTCTGCCGCCTCTGAATTTTTTTTTATTTTTTTTTATGTAAATCTCTTCGTTTTACAGCTTAAAACAGTTTAATATTTGAAATTTTTCTCATGCTCAGACCTTCGCGCTATATACTGATCGATAGGAGCGCATAGGCTTGGGTATACAAGGTTCTTAAAGCAAAATGGCGGCCTTCGCAACATCAGTACAAAAAATATCACCGATATGGTGGAAAAACCGCCCCCCATCCCCTCCAAAAATACTATTAAAAAATTAAAAAACGAGTAAAAATTTTTAAAAAAATCCGCCCGCCCGCCTCTGAAAATTTGTGAGTGTCATGACGCTAACCAAGTATTTTTTTTTATTTGGCCTAACATGAACTTTAAATATTGCAATGGTCTAAAAATTATTGAAAACTTCGTTGATTGAAAACCGTTAACAACATTCGAAATTAATCCATGCATGCAAATGGAAGGAGCTGGATTCTGCAAGTTAAATCGTGGATCATAACATTCTATTGGACATCCGGTTACATCCCTAAAACCAGTCATGTGTTGGTGGATTAGCGATTTCGTCTGTCTTCCGTCTTCGTGTCACATTTATGGCGAGTAACAGCAGATTTATTATTAAAGTTTAAATTTTGCTCCCTACCATTAAACGTCTTCAGATCATATTTTGTAGTCTTTTTTGTTCTTCGGGGAAAGAATGTTATACAAATCCCCCCGAAATGTTTGCAAAACAAAAGTTTTCCGCCGTCGTTTTTCTCAACCGCGATCCGTTATACGTAGCCTATATAATGGTCCATGGTTGAGTAGCCAATCAGAATAAATAAACCCTGGTTTGGTTGAGTATATATACTCATAATAGATGTCTTTCAATTAAAAGAATCCAAATACAAAGAGCTAAGCTTTTCTACGTGTAATAAAGTTTTTCAACCCACATGCAGTAGTTAATAGTAAAAATGTTGAAGTTGTAACATCTGCGCAATTTCTGACCTTACAATCTCTGATGACCTCAAGTAGAAGACTCGTGTCTCAAATATTTGTTTAAAGGTTTCATCACGCCTATATTTCTTTATTGAAATATTGTAGTTACCCTCCAATGATTTGGCCTTGTTCTACGTCACTTGTATTCACCCACTTATTGAGTATGCGTGTGAAATGTTTCACGACCGGCTGCCGCGGTACAACTTTGTTGTCAAGTTTTGTCGTCAATCATACAGTGACAGAATGTTCATAGTTCCCAAGATTTCTTTATAATGCTAGTTATGAAAAATTATGCGACAAGCACGTTTCTGAAATGTTTCAAGATCATTGCAGCAAGTCATTTAATTTGTGTTTTGGATTACAGGCTATTTCCTATTTTCCTTAACTCGTTAGCTACCGAATTGTTTTTGAGAAGTTGACTTTGAACAAGGACAACTGTGAAACATACCATAATTCGTCGGGTTTAAGGAAATAGCCAGTAACCCAAAACATAAGTTAAATTACTTGCTGCTACCACTAAATAATCAGTGACGGACGCACTCATGACGGCAAAATAGGAATTTTGAGCTTCTTGTGTGCAAGACAAACAGGTTTACACTGAAGAGCAGTTTTTCTAACGTATTTCTAAATAATGAATATTTTAGATAATTATTAGATTTTTAGTTTAATGTATAAATAGCCTTATATATAATATTTGACCTCAGCCTTACTATATTTGTAAAACTTGTAGTTCCCTTGTACATTTAACGGCGAAGAAGTGGCTATAAATATCCAGCTAGCTTATTCAACAAGCAGGAACCCGTTATTTGAACTTAGTACTCTGTAGATCCACCCTGCATGTAAAAGGGCAAGTAATGTAAATAAATAACTGAATTGCTCCGCCTGTGATATTATATATTATTTATGTGTTTTTTATTAACGGTGATTCGTGTTCTCAGTTTTGATTTTTATATTAAAATAGGCCTTATTGAATGACATGATTAGCGTTTATTTTATCTTTGTTCAATAAAATTCTTGAAGTATGCTGTTGACCAGTTATTTTCTTCTCATTTCTTCTTTTCCCGGTTTCGCTTCTCTCAGTCTTATAGTCGTTCATTAATTTGAACGAAACTTTTTCAACAGGAGATAAAAACAGCCATGACCTGGATTGACCGGATGGTGTCCCCATTATTGGAAGAAGATTGGTGAACTCAGGATGTTCGGTGATTAAATCCTTTGCAAATAACCACCATTTCTGGATACCTGGGCAGCCATCGACCTCTTTAGACTGCCACGGTTTAGCAAGATCAAAATGCACAGCTGCCGGCTGGATACCATTGTTTTCGCTTACAGCACTACATCCGTACTTTTGATCCAAGTGATGCCATCTCTCTTTATACATCATGGTGTAAAAATATTCATCCGGGCCAGGATAAACACCTCCATGTCCAGCATGTTGCTGTGACTTCGCCATGAGGTAATCCCTCACACACGGTTTCAGTACCATAATGCATCCTCTTACCCCATAGTTGTTCGATAACGATTCCTTAATTTCAGCTTCCGGCAATCGCTCTCCATGCCATCTCTCATCGTCTCTTATACTTGTGCATATACCAGCAGGAGTAGACAACTCAAAAATTTCATCCAAGTTAGCAAGTGCTAACATGTCTGCATCCATCCATACTATCTTATCATACTCGATAAATTTCATCATGTTCCCTTTCGTTAGACAAAATTTCATCCACTCCTTTTCTTGCCTGTATTCATGTCCTCGTAGAGTACTTCGTGTCATTGACTGAATGTATTTTACTGTCTCAACTCGGTCAAAAATCTTCATGAGTAATTTACGAGTCTTGATGCTGACGTCAGGTGTAACCATGACAATTAGTTCGTGTTGAACTCCAAACTTACGGAGCGACCAACCCAGCACTGCAGCTCCAATAGCATATTCATCCCCACACATGACTAGCGTGACATAAGCATACCGTGGGCGGTGCAGGTAACGACGACGTTCATGAATCGCTGTTGTTCTAGTCAGTCTTACCTGTGTCGTACTTGGTCTGTGCACTGCTGATATGTGGCGTGATGAATGTTGAGAAAATTTTATATTTCTCGACATGACAAATTGGCAATACCGTAGTTCTAAAAGAATGTTAATTTATAATTTTTAAAGATATCCAAGTTACAAGGCTCTGATTTTTTTGAATTTCTTTTCACTATTTTTCGTTTACTTTATATAGGGCTATATATTGCAATTTTTAATTCGTCGTCTATGACTACGGAATGCTGCTACAGACGTTTCTGCCATATTAGGCATATATATACTGCTTTGCATAGAGCTCATAGTATATTTATATTTCACACGGAGATCTTTCGGACAGACGCGATTCAATTCATCTATGACAATGAATGATTATTGACATATTTACATATTGTATCGACCGAATTCGCCAAGGCATTTATCATGTGTATTAGAGTTCGACATACAGTACATACTATGCCTTATTGATAAGGCTTATTAATGACTCCCATGACTTAATTTCCCCGAGTAACATTAGTCTTACGGAAAGTAACCTCGTCTCGAATCATTGCCGTTACATGGCAGATGAACTTAAGTAGTAAAATAATGATTCACCTCTTGACTGATGAATTTTGAAGACTTTCAATGCAACAACACGAAAATTTGATTCAACATAATATCATGCAGTAACTATAGAAACATGAGTCTCGACTTTAATACTTTAGCGTTAAATATGTTAAATGACGTACTTTTATACAGCTCTAATCCTCTATCCTTTAAGTTAAGCCAGCGAATCGAATTTTTCAAGATCTGTTCATCCTTTTAGAGTCCTTGGAGTAGTAATTCGGCTACACTCATGCAGGCAAAAGCCAATAGGTCTTCACAGTTTCAGATTACTTGATTATGAAGGACAAATAGTGACCGATTTGTTTACAATCGCTCGACAGAATAATTTATCGTTGCTAACTACAACTGCCTACGTCAGAAAGGCTAATGAATTCCACTGCAATACAACGGGTGCATCTATAGCTTTATTTGCAATTTACGTATCATTGAATTCAACACAGCCGGGTTTGGGGAGGATTACATATGAGAACAATTTAATTAGTAATTAATACATTTGCAATTTAGTACTATCTACAATTTTTACAAAACAGGTCTTCGAGATTGTTATAGTAAGGTTATTAATAAATAATAAGCTTATTATATGAAATATTTTACGAAGTTTGTGATTGGCATTGAGAGTAAAGCGTCTGAAGATTGTGTACTGCAAGCTTCTGTAGAGGACCAAGAGCAAATACACTGCATTTAACATCCAAACTATATCATTAAAGTAGCCAGCCGTTGCAGCTTTCTTGGTAACTACCTTTGCATGTTTCGCTGCTTGAAGCGGTCCTATCTTAACCCAAACCCATATCATGGCGATGAACGTACAGCCCGACATGAATCTAACAGAATCTATAACATCGATCGTTCTTCCTTTAATAGCCCACTGTTTATATGACTCGGCTTCGCTTCCAGCTCTTCCGTCTTGCTGCGCGCATGACTCGAGATATTTTTTATTTATTGATTCTTATCAGTATCGTCAAAAGCTAGAAAACAATTGCATATGAAATCCAACAGCTGAATTTCCTTCTGAGACATACGGGAAACTCGTCAGATATATGAATTCGGGGTTCCGCCAGTCCATTAACGAGCATGGGTTGGGGTTTCCGAATATTTCAGCGGCTGGTTTATCCGTCCTGTAATTGTTTCATATCAGATCCAAATCCGCTCGACGAGTTTCCGCGGTTCCTCCGTTCTTAATATGAACTACCAATATATCTAAGGCGTGCAATGGATGTCCTTTTTCGGTACTGTGTGACGACAGCACCACGTACCTTATACCAAGGATCTTGATCTTTTGTTTTTGTTATTTCGCGAATGAAGTTTGGAACAACGTTATAAGGTGGAAACTTAAATGTAAGCTTTCATCACAACAAATAAAGTACGATGTAAAAACTAAACACCTTCATTATTCACTGTGTAGCCACGTGTGTTTGGCAGAACATATCTGAAGTTCATATTAGGTCCATTACCAGCGCACGAAGACTGCTTTAAAACCTTGACGGAAGTTTTTGCTCAACAGACAATAAATGACAGGATTGTATGCACAGTTGCCAAGAGCTAATAACATGGAAAAGTACCAGACGAAGCTGAAAAGGAAATCAATATAAAACAGATTTAAAGTGTACTCAATGTTGGTGTTCAGCTAAAAATGTTGATTGTTGTGAAACGTTTCTCAAACTCATAACTGATAATTCATAAACCAAAAACAAAATAAATCAACATTTAAGTAGTGTTTTGATACTACAGGGTGTCTCAAGAAAAAGAAAACATTCACCTTACTATTATAATTTGAATTCCTGAGGCTGAGTACTACGCTGAACCGACGGGTGCGTTTTTGATTTTGTTCCGCATATGATTATGTGCTGATAAATTCAACTCAGCACCATTAAACAGTAAAACTCGTCAGTTGATCCTGTGGTCAGTTGAACCATTTTTATTCGAACTGATACAAGTGAATTAAGTGATAGTATGACTAATTTGTAATTTGACCATTTTTGTGTCTAGTTATTCTCCTTTATGCTATTAGAAGCTATTTTAAATTCCCAGGTGCATGCAGAAAACCCCTTGATCTATAGTACTGTGCCTTTCAATTTCAATGCAATATAGAGTATAGTACTCTCTCATTTTGCGAGAAAAGTTATGACTATTTAACAGCTATTCTAAGAACTCGAGTCGAGTATACGAGCTGATAGCCGATGAGGCGCGTAGTAGTCTAGAACCTGTATATGAGTTTGTATGCGTTTCATTTAGCACAGGTAATCTCAACTGTTTTAGGGTAAAATGACCATGGCGGTCAACATGGCATATGTGCCAAAAGCTGAATCCGGGACGAAAGTCCTGAAAATGACCTCGCCCTGAAACGGCAGTGTCAACATAGCTCTAACTTCAGAAAACAAAAAGCGATAGTCTTTCTGAAGTGCTTATAGTGTTTAGAAGGGTTGCTTTTAGGGGTGGTCATTGGAAGAAAAAATTTGTCTAAGTATAATATTTTACAAGAAAACGACCATGCACCACCCCAGGTAAATGGGCCAAAATGGCTAATTATGCATAAAATAACTAATATGCCTGGCAGAAATTAAATATTCTATAAAATGAAAAACTATGCTCAATTTAATATAAATATTGTTGATATCATAAGGATTGTCATTGTTTTCTTTAAATATAATACATTTTATTTCACTTACCCCCCACGAAAACATGACGATTTCAGCCATATTTGACATATTTTGCCGTCTTGTTTGCTTTTTATCGCCGAATCTCGCAAATATCATCCAGTTATTGTACTTTTACATAATCATAAATAGCTGAAGAGGATTTCAAAGAAGGTTTCATCCACTTTTGAAACAGTGCAGTGTATTTTATCTTCGATATTGTGTCCTTCGATATTTCGTCAAATTGCCGCCATTTTAATGGCTCGCCGCTTCTCTGCCCGATAAATGCCAACTTCTTCGTTTTCATATGTATTTAGATTGCATTATCCAAGAGTACTTCATTGTAGAATAGTCCCAATCCAAAAATTGAGAACATTATTTGTACTTGGGAGGAAAAAACCTCCCAGTACAATTGTCCTGTTAGAATACAAAAGAAATAATTTAAAAGTCACGCGCAAGTTCGCGAAAACACCTCGTGGACAACATGACAGGGGGGTGAATATTTTCACGAAACGTTTGTTCGCCACCACAGCAACCTAACTAAATGTATTATATTTTTTGTATTTTTATAATTGATGATAAAAATACGCAATTATTTATTGTTTTTATCATAAATCACAAATATACAATAAATATAATGTACTTAGTTAGGTTGCTGTGGCCATGGGCGTACCTGGTTTTTGTTGGGCAAACAAAGCCAGTCCGGCAATATTCGGGCAAATTTCTTTCAGCCCCCCCTAATTTTTTTCTTCCGGTACGCCCATGGCTGTGGCCTGTGGTGGCGAACAAACGTTTCGTGAAAATATTGGAAAATATTCACTCTCCCCCTGTTATGTAACCCACGAGGTGTTTTCGCGAACTTGCGCCGTTGCGCGTAGCCTGCTCACAGACGTTGTAGTTCTTACGCCAAGCGACGAAATACTACCGTCTGCTTAGCCTCCTCCGCAGGCAACTCTGTTATTTCTGTCACAGTATCACAATTCACAAAGCTCAGTGATCAGTACGGTTCCCCTGTGTAGTGTATGGGCGGGCGGGTTACGCGGGCGGGTTACAGGCCGCCCGCCCGCCAATACACTACACAGGGAACCCGTACTGGGACATACAGAGTTGCCTGCGGAGGAGGCTACCGTCTGCTTACCCGAGCTGCATATTCAATTCCCTTTGTTTTAGCCGAGCCAATCATCTGGCAGTGTTCAAAAACATTAGAGCCAATTGGAAGCCGCCTTATATATTGAGAGATTAGCTACAGGGAAAAGCCCTTGCACATGCATTGGAATATATTCAGGGACGCCGGAACTGGGGGGGCAGGGGGGGGGCGGCTGCCCCCCTTGCCTTTTGCTAGGGGGGGCAGGGGGGCCAGAAGTGCCCTTTTAGTTGTAAAATAATACGTGATAAATCACATTTCCAACGATGCTTTTTGTAGGAAAATCACGAGATTCAGGTAATTTATAGTTTATATTTATAAAAATTTGGGGAAATTTTTGGAATTTAGAAAAATAGTTTGAAGAAATGGCGAAAATTTAAGATATCCGGAAAAATTTTTGGCTTCACGGAAAATTTTTGTATGTCCGGAAAAAATTTTTGACCCCTAAAATGGTACACTGACCGAAATTGATTTTAAAGGTGCCCTTGGTGTGCGTCCGCCCCCCTTTGCCCTATTATCGTTCCGGCGTCCCTGAATATATTGTTTGGGTTGAAACCAAGGTTGAAACTTGAAATTTGTTTACTTGCGTGGATATATTTTGGAAACTATAGCGTTGAACTTCACGATGTTTACGTAGAATAATATTGTTATCATCTTCTCGCATGTTCAACAAACAATCGGTGTATATAAAGTGCTAAAGCAATGCAGTAGGCGAAATTTAAATTTTTGTTTATAACAATGACAAACAATCAATCGGGAACCAGGATATGTCCAAATGTTGCTCTTGATACTTCCTATATGCCATGACTTCGACGAAAACTTCTAAAAGATTAAGTTCTCATTAATTGTCATGTAGAAAAGTATAGCCAAGTTAGAGTATATTAAACGTTTCGAAGTTTGGGCGAATTGGAAAATTCATCACGGCGCAATTTTAATACAAGTTCCTCGGGTTTGTGATTCAGAAGAGGTTGCTCAGACAGCAAATTAGTTTACTTTGAAGCTAATATTTCGCTTTCTAAGCCACAGTATTATATAAAATTTTCTGTCTTCCGAGTTCTGTTGTCTTATAAAGATAAACCGTTCAAATTTCAGCGAAATATATTCGGCATTTGATGCCGTCTGGCTATTAAAGATTCATACAGTATAAATATGCCAATCCTGTCCGCGTTTTAAATATATTAACCGAACATCTTTAATATCCAAATCTGATCATTAATGGTGCATTTTATTACCTGGACAAGTATCAGTATCTTTAAATTCAATTTATGTGCAATTTTGACCAAAATTCAACCGACGACTGCTTTCAAAATATATATTTATATTTATTCCGCTCGTAAATCAACTGACGTCACTTTCCAGAATTTGGAAGGTAAATTCTGATTGGTCGACGTAGCGGAATTCAGTTTGGCGCTCGGGTAAGCAGACGGTAGTATTTCGTCGCTTCGCGTAAGAACTACAACGTCTGTGAGCAGGCTACGTTGCGCGTGACTTTTAAATTACTTCTTTTGAATTCTAACAGGACAACTATTATGGGAGGTTTTTTCCTCCCAAGTACAAATAATATTTCCAATTTTTGGATTGGGACTATTCTACAATGAAGTACTCTTGGATAATGTAATCTAAATACATATGAAAACGAAGAAGTGGCATTTATCGGGCAGAGAAGCGGCGAGCCATTAAAATGGCGGCAATTTGACGAAATATCGAAGGACACAATATCGAAGATAAAATACACTGCACTGTTTCAAAAGTGGATGAAACCTTCTTTGAAATCTTCTTCAGCCATTTATGATTATGTAAAAGTACAATAACTGGATGATATTTGCGAGATTCGGCGCTAAAAAGCAAACAAGACGGCAAAATATGGCTGAAATCGTGTTTTCGTGGGGGTAAGTGAAATAAAATGTATTATATTTAATGAAAATAATGACAACCTTATGAAATCCACAATAATTATATTAAATTGAGCATAGTTTTTCACCCCATGATAATTTTTTTTAGGAAATAAGAATATTTAATTTCTGCCAGGCATTTAGTTATTTTATGCATAATTAGCCATTTACCTGGGGTGGTGCATGGTCATTTTCTTGTAAAATATTATACTTAGACAAATTTTTTCTTCCAATGACCACCCCTAAAAGCAACCCTTCTAAACACTATAAGCACTTCAGAAAGACTATCGCTTTTTGTTTTCTGAAGTTAGAGCTATGTTGACACTGCCGTTTCAGGGCAGGGTCATTTTCAGGACTTTCGTCCCGGATTCAGCTTTTGGCACATATCCAAGGTTGACCGCCATGGTCATTTTACCCTACCCTGGATTCCAGAGCCTTCGACAGTAAATAATAAATTGAAATGTCGCGAAGGCTCTGGTTCAACGGGGAGATTCTTTGATTGAACCGCGCCAATCACAAAACAGAATTAGTGGTTTTAGTACAGATTCTGTACTAAAACCACTAATTCTGTTTTGTGATTGGCGCGGCCTAATCAAAGAATCGCCCCGTTGAACCAGAGCCTTCGCGACATTTCAATTTATTATTTACTGTCGAAGGCTCTGGAATCCAGGGTAATTTTACCCTAAAACAGTTGAGATTACCTGTGCTAAATGAAACGCATACAAACTCATATACAGGTCCTAGACTATAGCGCCGAATCGTCAATCGCTCATATTCGACAAGAGTGAGTGGAATCACTCTTTTCTAGTATAAACCTACTAGTAGGTTATCATGTATCGTGCGTTCTGGTTGGCTACGCTATAGTAGTAGGCTATTACTTTAGTGATAGCCTCTAGTAGCAACAAGCGGCGAAGGGCGCGAGAGACAATGGCCGGTTTTTAAGTCATTAAAAGCTGCGTTTAAAGGAAAAATGCTTATCAAAATGGTCTAATTTTGGTTCTGGATTACAAACAAACAAAGACTTTTGGAAACTGACACACTTATGCTGACACATATGGTAAAATTTTTACGTTTTCTCAATTTTGTTCGTAGTTTGAACATGAAAGTGACAGGTAATTTTTTACTGAGTAGAATCGTTGAAATTCAACATAGTTTGTAGCTACTTACCACTATTTTATCACTCTTTTTAATGTGTGCTTGTTTAAGGGGCGGACCATTAGAAATCCCGGGAGGGGGGGGGGGGTGAAAATTCCCCCAAAGAAATTCGTGCAAAGAAAAATGCCTGGGAAAAAAATCGTGCAGCCATTGCGTCAGAGAAAAAAAAATCGTGCAAGCAAACAGCAAAGTGCAAATAGTCTTGAAAAAAATAATTGCAGAGAGTATATGCATAAAAAAAATCCTGCAGAGACAAGGACCCCCTCCCCTCCCTGGATTTCTAATGGTCCGCCCCTAAGTATACGATTACCTATACTTAGCTATCATTTTATTTAAGTTTTTTTTTGTTTATTCAAATGTCGAGATTTTGACCGAGTTTTTTTGAGCCTTTTTAATCTTTTTTTCGTATAATTTTTAATCTAAACTTTTGTCTATGTATACTAGATGATGCAAATGGTTTGCCTCTTTATTTTGCCAGATATTTTAACGACATTCGGATTCTTTTGCGTGCATTTTTATTCAGCTTTTAAACGTATAAACTTTATTTAGTAACAATTCGGGAAGCCATTTTGTGTTTGAAATTTTGGACCTTTTAAGCCTTGTTTCCCCTTCTTTTAACAGCCATGCTTTGCTGGTATAACGACCACTTAGTGACTTACTGTTATATACTGTTCTACGACATCTTTTTTCCCCGAGCCAACGGCGCGGAGCGCCGTTCCGGGCGTAAGCCCGGGGCGAGGGTACTAATTCCCTCCCGGCTATTTACACCCGGGGAAACGAAAGCATTAGCGAAGTCTAAAGTTTATCAGTGATCGCGGGCGTGAGAATGGTAGGTGGTCATCCTCACTGATCTCAAGACGCCATGGTCGCAGCCAGTGCGCGTTTGAGAGGCATTCACACCCCCTGATATTATTCAAAATGGCGGACGTCCAGGGGGAGAATGCCTCTCAAACGCGCACTGGCTAGGACCATGGCGTCAGCATTTTGACGTGGTGAATCATGGTGTGGCAGCGGTTACTCGAGTCGACCTTCCGTGTGCCTTGTGATATCGTGTTGTCATGGCAACACTTGAGCGCGAACCTGCGTTCAGTGTTGGCCATTTCTGAATTACTTCATGTTAATTTAATGTTTGGAAAATATTGGCGAGGAGTTACTGCATGCATGTATTTCTAGTACGTAACTTTTTAAAACTCACAAGTTGCATTTTTCAAGTCATTCTTGGGAGTTCGCAACACTGATTAGTTGTCAACAAGGCTGAGCCTGAAGGCGAAATGTCGCCAAAGGAAGCCATTTAAACGCTCATTTCGTTAAAAAGTTATTATTTTACAAAAAAATCAAGTTAAAAACTCAGTTTTCATTATGTCGTTTTGACTAAAACAATTAGACAACTCAATCTCGTTATCTCTGAGCGAATAATCAACTCGGCTTCGCCTCGTTGACTATTAAGTATTAGTATATTGGCTCATAGACAACTCGACTTCGTTGTCTAATTGTTCACTGATGAAGATCCGGGCTTATGGACCGAACTTTGCATCAATAAATATACGTGCATGTGTTCGCAGAAAACCGGCTTATTTAATGTGGTGATTATATACGCACATGAACAGCGATTTTTGTCCACTATAGCTGGCACTGAAATGAGTCTTCCATTTTATTCGAAATGTTCGGTGAATTGTAAACAATATTTTAATTTTAGGCTTGATTTTGGCATTGTGAGGAGATGTTTGGAATTTTGAAAGAGATTTGGTGGATTTTGGGATTGTGGTGATTTTCCGACTGCATGCAGGATTTGGGATATATTTTTGACTAGGAAATTCCCAAAGAGTAATCACCCCTCTTCAGCAGTTACGCGCTTTAATTTTCTGCATTGCGTTGATGCCGAAGACCAAAGGTTTCTTTAGTAACTCTAAGTGAAGATTTTCTATCATATATACCAAAATATGTGGATCTATCTACACTGACATTACAACATTAAATGTAAAGTTTTCGATAGCACAAAATCAAAAACGTTTTAAGTTTATGCATGGATGGGATGTGAATTAAAATGTGTTAAATTGCCTAATCTGCCTAGGTATATGTGTGGTTGCAAGATCAAATAAGTTATTCGATCACGGACAGATGGATTTCAGTTTCAATGGACTGGTATTCTTAAATTTTCACAAAACACATATTAAGGTGTGTTCTAACATCTGCCTGAACAAGCAAAAGGTGCCGCAACTTTTAACGTGCGTCTTGACATACCTATAAACATTCCTTTTGTCAACTCCAGTATCTTTCAAAAGATATGATGTATAGAACGGTGTCCAAGCAAAAAAGAAAAATACCGACGATGCAATTAACATTTTCACGACGCGTTTCTTTGTTTCTTGTGACGTAAATCCAGATTCCCCATCGCCTGAAGATTGTTGCCGCAACTGTCTTATAACTGCAGTATAGCGGTAAATAACTACAACAGCTGGAAAAACATAAACTATCAGGTATTTAGAGATAGCATACGCTTTCGCAACTCCAAGTGAAGGAAATAATTCAAAGCAGCTACAACTGGATTGCTTGTATTTGTTCACTTGAGTGCCACAATAGATCATGGATGGGATGTGAATTAAAATTGCCAGAAACCAGGTTTTGGGAATTGTCCATTTAACAGAGGTTTGTCGTACATGATTGGCTAGAGGTTGGCAAATTGCGTGGTATCGTTCATGCGCAATGGATGTCAATGTAAATACACTTGCACCGTGACAAATATATACCAAACTGCCTCGAAACTTGCAAGCTATGTCACCTAATATTAAAAGAAATAATCATGTGAATTTATTAACATATATGTATTCGCTTAATTACTTTCTAATATAAAATCATGAAATTAAAATAAGCCAGTTTCACAGAACAATAATAAATTTTAATAATGTCTATAAGATGCATATACACGTTCGTAAATATTTACAGCGGCACGTTGAATAATTATTAAAAAATGCAATTATTTTAATGACAATGGACTATATACTGTAACATAACTAATGCGGATATTTCGTCTTATATTATACTATAGTATACAACTAGTTTGATAAATTGTTGGTTTATGTCGCTATTTCATGTGGCCAGGATAGAAATCTCGCCGACAATACATAGATCGCGCGAATGACTTGGTTGAGGGGACTCTGCATGGAGAAACCATAGCAAATTGGCGCGATACAAATAGCTCAACGATTTTGGTATTTTTCATGATTTGTGGTTGCTAATTAAATAGAGAATAATACATGGGTGCGCGGAAATACCAGATTTATTTCGAGTGTTGAACATGATATCTTGAGAGTGAGCGCAGCGAACGAGTGAGATATCATGCATGTTCAACACGAGAAATAAATCTGGTATTTCCGCAAGCATCCATGTATTTTTCTGTTTATTATATAAAAAGACAGTCTTTGAAAAGCGATAATTTTTACAGAAAAGCGACAATTGAAAAGCAATAATTTTCACATGTGAAATTATCATAAATAATCTCTGCCTCCTCCGCAGGCCCTTCGTTGGGCACAGTGCAGTGCAATTGCAATCTATATAGATCAGTGGCTGTGATATCATTGCCGGCTGGGGACGAGGCAGAAATTATCTCACATATCATATGTGAGATTATCAGTTTTATCAGTGCTCGAAACTGATATCTATAAAGCATTATACTTTAAATAGTACATATACGGTAACATGCATATTCGATACTTGTGTGCAAAACAAACCTAGAGAATTTGCAATACTCTACATTTTTAAGCTACGAAAAAATATCAGTATGATCTCTATTTATGCAGTATTGAGCACTCGGCACATGCATACTCTCTGGTTATGCTGTCGAAAACAACCAATATGAATTCGGCTTTTGCTTGGAGCACACCAACTGGCAAGTCATGACATAAACTGGCAGTAAAATTTCGACGCAACAAGTCTAGATAAAAGTAATATTGCAAAGTTTCGTTGCGAAATGTTGTAAAATGCGGATAATATAGCCTTGCGAAGTTTGCCGTTTTTCAGTCATTTTGCATTACGCGGGGGAAATTGACAACCCAATACCTAGCTTTGGGGCTGTCAATTTCCCGTTTGTATTAAAAATACAAAATGACGTGAAAAACGGCAAACTTCACAAGGCTATATTATCCGCATTTTACAACATTGGCATATTAACGAAAGTTGGAATATTACTAATTTTGTGATGCTCTTTCAAGCTGTGATGAAATTTTTATCTAGACTTGTTGAGATCAAAATTTAGTCTATAATGCAAATGGTCCATTCTATTGTTCTGGAAACGGACGTGCGCTTTATTTTCTAACGATTAGTTGGGAACAAATTCCGGATATGAATATATTGGAGATGAATATATTGGAGATGAATATATTGGAGATGAATATATTGGAGATCAATATATTGGAGATCAATATATTGGAAATGAATATATTGGAGATGAATATATTGGATATGAATATATTGGAGATGAATATATTGGAGATGAATATATTGGAGATGAATATATTGGAGATCAATATATTGGAGATCAATATATTGGAAATGAATATATTGGAGATGAATATATTGGAGATGAATATATTGGAGATCAATATATTGGAGATGAATATATCGGAGATGAATATGTTGGAGATGAATATATTGGAGATGAATATATTGGAGATGAATATATTGGAGATGAATATATTGGAGATGAATATATCGGAGATTAATAGTCTAATATTATGATGCAAGTTGCTACTTTGTATTATCTTTTGATGCTTCCTACGCCCCTGCACCAAACCACGGACCAATTTGACAAGTGCGTGTATGAAGTGAACCAAACCATAAAATGCTCAAGTGTTTGACTCAACCAACTCTAGCTTGGCCCTCAACCAGTGGCGTGGCCAAGGGGTTGGTACACGTTACGGCTAGGAGCTAAATCCGTAGGAATTGGTTGGGGTACACGTTACATCTCGAAGCTGAAACTGATTAAGTACGTCTCGACTGAGGAAAACGACGATATACTGGAGGAACTTGATTTGCAAAATCTGGTTAAAGCAGTTGTAGATGTGGTTCCAAGAAGAATAGATTTAGTTTAGATTTACATGTATGCATTATCATAGAGGGCCCTGAAGGGGTAAAATGGGAACTGGGATTGATCTATTTTTAAACTGGGAAAATGGGATTTGGGTTGCTGGGACTGGGATTTGGCCACTGGGAATGGAAATGAAGTCCTCAAAAATGGGAATGGGATTGAGGTAATGCGAGTCGATTCCCAATTTTTCTACGTTTTAAGTACTTTAAAATACAATTTTGATCCGTTTTTGGTGTCTTTGGTCATGATTTTTGTTGTTAACTATATTAATCACAGCACTACCTGCAAACAGGCATACTCTGGCGCCCGGAATTCTGGGTTTTCTGATTATTCGTGTCTCAGAATGCTGCAAATGCTATTTCCGGGATTCAAATTTAAAAATTTTCCGTGTCTTCGGCACGAACCCCCCCCCCCCCAATATTTCATAAAGTGTCCGCCACTTGCACACACGCGTACGGTGGCTTAAAAGGTCTTAAAACTGTTTATTCTACCCATAAATAAAGATTTTTTTATTGACTGGGATTTCAATAACTCGGACTTCTAATAAAAATCCAACTGGGACTGGGATTTTTCCAAAATTTCAGGTGGGAAATGGGATTGGGACCTCCCCTTCAGGACCCTCATCATAGCATGAATATTCTTCTCAGACTTATATTCTGTATCGTATAAAAAAGCAACGCAATTTTGAGAATGCGGAAATGCTGTCTCATAGAACCTAGAATGATTTAAATGCAACATCTCTGATCAAAATCACATTGAGATTTTCTTCCCCCAGCATCACAGAGGGGAAATAAGGTGACGCTGACCGGCTCCTCCTGTTTTTCAAGGTGACTTTTTCAATTTATTTAATTCCGAGTAGAAAATTAGAAATGTCTGGGAAAATTTATGTCTTCGATATATGTACTTTATAATCTTCGGAACACACTCGCTAGGGGAACTCTCTATATGGACATCACCCGTTGCGAGGAACCACCAAGGTCCACCATAGATATCTTATATACACTAGACAGCGCATCTATTTTAGTAAAATTGAAGCCAAGAATATTCCAGCGGTTACCCCCATTTGAATAGATGGCGGCCATGTTGGAATTTCCCACTCGCTAATAAACGCTTAAAAAACAACAACAACTTTCATCATTTGAATAGTTTGAAACTGATGTATTTGGAATAGATTTAACTTAATGTTTAAGTCCCCTGTTTAAGAAATAGAAAACATACGAGTCTTCTCATTTCATGGGAATATCCTGAGTCTGCAATCACGGCTTCAATTTTTGAATTGCAGAATAATTAGATGCACTATCTAGTGTATATAAGTCATAAGATATCTATGGGAACCACTAGAAAGATTCTAAAGCACCAGACTTCTTACAGTTAGATCAGCATTTATCATGGCGGGAACACATAACGAATCTTTTGTCCTCAACTGAGAAAGCTACGTAATATTGCGCCGTTTCATATTCGTAAGCGGTTAGTTGAAAGCGGTTACTTTAGACTTCACTATTATTCATTGTATTCATGACATCACGAATTTCAAATTGGTCACGTCTGCTGCATGGCGTCAACTGTTTTCTATCCATCTTTTTAATTATATATGCACTAAAATTAGCGAAAAAGAATCGCAAGATATCATGCAAGAAGATGGAGAGATTTTGCCTTGATCGGATGTGACCTGGATATCAAGCATACCCTACAGTTATCTTTTATTTTGATAGCAGCCAACAACAACTCCTAATGAGTAATGGACAAGCATGCTGATAATTTTCCATCTGAATATTTGCGCACAAAAAACCAACCTACATGTAGCCTATATATACATATACGCATATATACGACCGCATATGTTTATTTTTAATAGCCATGTTCAATATTAGTTTAAGTATATTATTTCTCTGATATTATCTTTTTAGTATAAATATTAAGCTAAATTACAAGACGGATTTCCGTCTGGTACGAATATGAAACAAAAATTGCCATCGACGCCAGATAAACACGAAAAAATAGGAGACCCTCCATTTCAGTATCTTTTCAACGTTACGAGCTGAAAGCCGTCTTGATTTATTCGTCTGATATAAATTTTTCTGTCTAAGACAAGAAACTCGTCTAACTTTCCCGTCGTTCAGACGAGAAAGTTAGACGGAAAAGTTGAGACGGAAAACCGTCGTTATATAACCGAATTTATATTTTGATTCTGGACGAGTTTCCCATCTCAGACGGACATCCGTCTTCTAATATGAATTCAGCTAATATCAATGCAGTTCAATTACTGCATGTATTCATGTTAATCGGCTTAACTTTAAACTAAAATCACTAGTGAATATTCTGATCTTGGCAATGGATCTACACTGAAGAATATATACTTGAAAAATGACTTGTTAAACCAGTATATGTTCAGTCAGTATAAATTCACCAACAAAAATATACATGCATGCAGACACAGACTTGAAAAAATGAACATCTAAGCAATAATCTATACAGGAGAATGAGTACATAATTTAAATCATCAATCTATACTTAACAATTATTCGCCGAAGGCGAGGTGATTATCGGTGAATAAAAACCGAGACGAAGTCGAGGTTTTCATTCACGATAATCACCGAGCCTGAGGTGAATAATTGTTTTAGTATTATTTCATAGGTGATTATTTGGAAAAAAATAAGAAAATACACATTTCTTCGTCATTTAATTGACAAAAAGGCTTCGGCCGCCATTTTGAAAATCGCTTAGGTGATTATCGCGTAATAATCACCTCAACCGCAACCAATCAGCGTGGAGAATTTTCAATAATCACCTATGTAATTATACTAATACTATATAGTCTATAAATAGTCTATAATTTTTCTCCGAATTCACAGGCGCTTTAACGCATGTGACATAATGCTTATTTCCTACAGTATATGACTGCATATATATGCACACAACTGAAGCAACTTCAAGGTGAAGTGATACACTGATTTAATTGAACACATACCTAGATGCAGATCTATCGCGAGATAATCAACCACGTGAAAAATTGACAAAACGGTGGCCAACATGTCAGCTACAGCTAAATTGACTAACAAAAAATTAGTATTTGTGTGCATTGAAGGGTTTTTCTTTACAATCCAACAGACCAAGCCATTACACACGACCGATGGAACAAATATGAAGACGTAAATTAAGATAAATACGGGTTCGTTGAAGACTTTATCGTAGACGACGGGATCATTTGATGTTTTCGTAGATGAGTTGGACGACACCGACGTTTGGCGGTTTGCTGTGGGGAGGAAAGTCATCTTCGCTGCAGACGGAATTATATGCTCTCGACGTCAGATCAATATTCAATAATATGAATATAAACAATTGATATCGAATATATGCCGTTCGAGTTGAAGTTCTTTGCTAATAATAAGCTAAGGCTAAGCGCCACTGAGACACAGAAACATGCAGCTGAGAAAAGTCTAGTATGCAGGCTATGTTGACTGATACTGGTCACTGGAGTAAGCCGATGCGGCAGCTGATAAAACAACTAGTTATAGTTTTAATCATATATAGCCATCATATATTAATGTAATTGTATTCATATAGACAAGATTTCAATCAGTACCTGCTCTAACGATTTTAACCAATTTTATATTGAATATATTAAGACAATATATATAGCTATGGGAGTAGGAGACAAAACCCGAAGTACAGTACGATGTTTGATATATTACAATTCGAGGTGGTCAGTTGCACGGGATATACGGTCTTTTTCAGATCTATAATATGAAAAAGAGAATATATACTTGTAGCCTAAGAGTAAGAATTCAACTGGAAGGCGACATATTTTATACTGATCAGTATATGATATCTATAGTATTATTTACATTTGTAAATAATGCTGTAGATGCATTTTAGTATATGACTCCCAGTATTCTTATATTCCTTAACTCAATTTTATGGTATATGCAACTGTCGAAATTAATTTAAACTTTGTCTTTGAATCAGCTGCCAAGCCAAAGTTGAACAAACAACTCATCTAAAATCATCTCATATTAATTTAAAATTGGACATAAAGGATATATAGCTATAGGTGACAGGGCATGCAGCATTGCGTGCTGATATTATTGTAAAAGTTAAGAAATTCATATACTGCTTAATTTCTATAATGACTATATTTCCCGACAGTCATAGATTGCATCTATATATATATATATATATATATATATATATATATATATATATATATATATATATATATATATATATATATATATATATATATATATATATATATATATATATATATATATGGAAATAGTTTTTCTATTATTTTGCTATAAAAATCGACATTTTATATTGGCGAAGAAAACGTTTTCCTTCACAAAAGCATTTGATAAATAAAGATGTCCCTATTACGTTAACATCTTATTGGTAATTTACATTGACGTCATTGATCCATGATTCATGAAGAATCTACAACGTTTCGAACCAAAATCCTGCGTTTGAAAGTGATTAGTTATTATCTACGACTACGAACTTCAAGATGAAAGGTCTTCGCTCGTTAGACTTTGTTGTTACTTGTCTGTACGATTTTTCAGGTATTTTCTCATTCAGATGGGCCGCCCTTAGTCTGCAGGTATATCAATATAAACACACATGGCACAGGTAATATTT